AAAAAAAAAAAAAAAAAAAAAAAAAAAAAAAAAACTCACTTGGCGTAGTACAGAGTTTGAGTTTTGCTGCTGGTTCTTCCCAGACCATTGAACAGCATTCATTATCCCGTCCCAGATCACACGCACAACCTCAATCTCTGGCAGTTTAGCATCTTTCACCTGTTGCTTCACCGTTTCAATCACCTCTTCTATGTTAATCTCCTCTGATACTTGGCTCGTAAGGACTTCTTTTATTTCCTTCAGCTTCACCTCGAATATTTTCTTCTCATTGTACTCTACCAGAGCTGTCAATCCCGCCTTGCTTTTATATCACAAGATAAGAAAAAGAGTACATACATTAGTTATACAGGTTAAGCAAAAACAAATCAGAGAAGGCTGGACGCTATGAGATAAAAATAAATAAATAGAATTACAACGAAGAGTAAACTATACATAAATTTAACCTATCACAAGAACAAGGTAACACTACAAGTGTAATAACATTGAAAGCAGTAAAGTTCAAGCAATAAGAAACTCACTTGAAATGCTCAGCAAAACATTCAGTAGTCCGCTTAGTAGGTGGCAGGAAGTCCAAGAGTTTGTCTTCCATCTTGCCACGTCTCAGAATAGCAATCAAGTCATCAAGACTGTTCTCTACCAAATACTCATTGAAGAAGTCTGTCACAAAAGTGAGCACTATCCCTTTGGCAACGAGGTTATCCTTAAGCAGTGGCTGGAAGACAGTCTCCGCAGGCAAACCCGAGAGCTTCTGGGAAAAAGCAAGGGCGGTGAAGATGGCAAGCTTCTTCCTCTCGCTTTCCTCGAAAAGCTCGAGCGACTGCAAGAACCTCCGGGTAACATTTTCGAGGTTCTTAATAAGGAAAGGTTTCCTGCGCAAGATTTTCTGGATGTAGACAACTGATGGTAAGATAGCTTCACGGTTTGGTTCACAGTCGATGATAGAGTAAGGATGTCGTTCCCCTTCGTCAGATTTCACTGAACCAGTTTGCGTACGTCCTCCTATGAAAACAACCTTAGCATCACAAAAAGAGATACATCGATTAATAATAAAAAAAAATTGACTTAAAGAAACTAATTAAAGCATAATCTAAAGACGGTTGGGAAATGATTTACAATAGTTCGACCACAGCAGATGAATATAATAACTTTTAAAGTGGAAATGAGAAACTATCTCTTAAGAAGACATAAATGGCACAGAGGCAGAACCCATAAAGAGGAATTACCTCAAAGAAAATATCACCGTATCTTGAGAAATTAAGATCAGATGACTCAACAGCCTTGGCAACAAGTTCCTAATAAAGACAAGCAAAAAAACAAAGCTTTAAGATTAAAGTTTTACAAGAAAGTAAGACACTGAAAAAGAAAAAGCAAAGAGCTTGCTTACCAGATCACCAGCATTATCAAGATAAATCAAGACAACAGCATCAGAGAAAGCAGCAGGGTCCAAAGGAGCAGCAATATTCCTTTTGCGGGTCTTAATCCGCGTTCCTCTACACAATAAAAAACAAATTAATTTATAAAGACAACAAGCCTAACTACTCTAAATTTAATCTTCACTAAACATTTTCTCTTACCAACAAACTGAAAAAGTTCCTCTACACATTAAAAGACGGATTAGTTCAAAACCTAACTACTCTTAACTTACTGTTAAACTAAACATTTTCTCTTAACAAGAAACTGAAAAGGTTCGTAATTTGAAGATAAACAAACTCAAACAAGAACGCAAACATTAATAATATCAAAAAACATAAACTTTCAACTTCCAGTGGACAAATAGAGAACTTTATAAATTCAATTTGACCTAATAATGAACAAAGTATACATACCCGAGAGTGGGCTTCTCCTTCGAGCTGCAGGAAAATAAAAAAAAAGGACAATAAAAATAGATTAGTAATTAAAAAAAAGTAGATCCAAAAACCCTAGCAGTGATTCGATTATTTCAAGAGCCCTAAATAATAATAGATTCCAGAAACCTCTAAATTCATTTCATAAGAGAGGCTGTTAGGAAACAAGAATCAGGAGAAAAAAATTCAAAATGAAAGAGATGAGATCTGTGTCCTCGATACAAACAAAAGTTAATAAAAAAAGAAGGAGATTCGTTATTCAATAAGAAGAGGATGAAAGGTTACCTCATAAACCAATATGTAGAAAAAGGATGAAAGTAGGGATTTACGAAAATGTATTTGTTCAAGTTTAGCGTTTCTGCACAAAATCGAGCTTCGTCTCGACGCTATAAAATAAGAAAGAAGAGGTGCACGATGAAAGATGTAAATGACGAATTTGCCCCTCTTGTACCTAACCTATGGTTTAGATCCGGTTTTATGGCGGTTTACTCACATTTCCCTTTAATCCGTGAATCAAACTGAACTAGACCGGTTTATATTTTATTTTTCCATTTCACAGTATTGACTGCGATTTCGGTTTTCCAAAACCGAACCGTCGGTTTTCGGTTAACCATAATTTTTCAAATCTATTCTAAAATTAACCGAATTAAATTTTGATTAATTTTGGTTCTCGGTTAATTTTAGTTTTCAAATATATTTCCAAAAATAACTGAATTTTTGGTTTTCGGTAAATTCTAAGCTAATTTTCCAAAAAAATCAGTTTTTTTTGGTTAAGTTTGATTATTTCAGTTGAGTTTGGTTATTTTTGCATTTTTTAAATTTGCAAAAACCGAACCGAAAAACAAATTATTTTTTAAAATATTATCGAACTAACCCGAATTGAAAACCGAAACCAAACTGCAAACTGAAAATCTCGGTTGGGCTCGGTTCTGCCCATTCGGTAAAGTCGCAGGGATAATTGATTAACCAAATTAAGCTTTCAAAGAATTTCGTTCTAATGATATCCCATCCTTTCTCTGCTATTTTCTTTTTTGTATTTTTCCAAACTTTCATTGTATCATTGCTCCAGTGTTATAAAAAAAAATTGTGAATTTAGACTTTGATCCTAGCGGATTTTTCTTACTGTCACTTTCTACGTCTCAAAATCGATTCAGCGTTATGGTTTACTCCAAACCGATTATTGCCCACAACCTGCTCGACGTAATTCCTCAATCGGTTTATGTACTGTTTGTCACGTGCCTCGTGCGTGACAAAACTCAACCTATCACTTTTCTTTTTCTTTCTCCCGCCTCTACTCTGTTTCTGAAGAAGACGCAAGAATCCTCTCAAGTCCTATACTATGAATCAATTTCCTCCTCTGGCAGATGCCAAGGGAGAAAAGTTCTTCAAACTCGCCAAAGATCACTACTTTCAAGGCCATTACATCAAGGCCTTGGAGATCATCCTAAAAGACTTATCTTTCCTCAAAGGGAACGACAAGAATCCTGTAGCTTACCTCCATGGCACTATCTTCAGGAACCTAGCGGAAAAAACAGAGAATCTTGACCTGAAAGTCACTTACTTGCTTTGTTCCGCTGAGATTTTTACCGCGTGTAGGCCTTTCTCAGGTGTTGCTGCGTTGTCACTCTTCAACTTGGCTCAGCTTCTTGATTCTAAGTACTATTACAAGAAGGCCCTGGATCAAGCGAATGTGATCATTGGTGCTGCTCAAAAGTTAGAGTATTTGAAGCATATTATTGAGACTTCGGAGTCAAAGCTCGTTGAATTCAAGAATGGGACTTATCTCGTTGAGGAGGAGGATAACTCAGAAGAAGATATGGAGTCAGAAGAGGATAAGACCAAGACTGAATCTGAGTTCGTTAGAGGATTGAAGGAGTACTGGTCAGGGTTGAGTGTTGAGATCAAAAGGAAGTTTATGAAAGTGAGCGTTGCGGGTTTTACAAGTTATGTACAGAGATTATATGGCAGAGAGGGACGAGATGCTTTGGAGAAAGTTTTGGGTTTCGTTAGGAAAGACAAAAGATGGAGGCTTTGGGTATGTCGATGCTGTTCGGAAGAGTTTTCTAGTGGTGAAGAGTGTAAGAATCATCTTGAACAAAAACATGGTGCAGGGTTTCAAGCTGATGTAGCAATGGCTCTAGCCCAAAGGGTGAGTGAATCCTGGGGTAGTATGATATGTGATGGAGGTTGGGAGCCAGTGGATACAGTAGCTGCTGTCGAAATGATCAAAACTCTTCTTATTGTATATGAGAATGGATGGTCCAAAGATTTGCCTTTAGCTGCAGATGAAGAGCGCAGAAAGCTACTCCAAGAGATTCGGTTGCTACTTGTGAAGTTTTGTGACCGTAAGATTCTCTCACGTAGCGTTATAGAATGGATGGTGGATTGTGTTGTCAACCATCTTGAGAAACTTGGAGTTTCCAAACATAGACTTACCGAGTGTGGCTTAGTGGAAACACCTCAGAGTATCTGCTGTTTGGAATGTCCTGAACTCAATCAAATCCTGGGCCTACTTAAACGCATAAAGTGTGAAAGTGATGATGCTACTGAACTGGTTTGCAGAGCAGTGGACAGTTTCTACAATGGTGCTCGAGTTAAAGAGAAGATTGACTTTGACAGTAAGTTTTCATCTCTGCTTTTGGACAAGAGACTGCTGCAAGGCAAGATTGCTGAGTTCGATGAAGAAGGGGCAATCAGTTTCTTAAATGCCTATGCTCACTACGCCAAGGCAAATGCTGGTGGCGATGATATCATATCATGGTTAACAGAAACGTCTCCAGGAGATGAGAACTTCCAGTTTCCGAGACCTATCAGAGCACACAATCTTGACGTTTGGATGGCAGTTCTTGGAGCAGTTCAGTTCACATGTAGAACTATGGGAACTCAATACTACGCAAAGAAGTTCAGGGTCAGAGATTTTAGTGAAGTTCTTGCTGACGCCAAGAACTTGTGTACAGGCGAAAATGAAAGGAGAAGGAATTTTCCGGATGGTCAACGGAAGACATATGCATCTCTTCTATGCGATGAATGTGAAAGGAAGCATTTAATGACTGACGCAAGTAGTAGTTCTATCGTGACAAGACTGTACCTTACTGCAGTAGTAGATATTCTTAAAGGAGAATTGCATCCGAAATTTGATCTCCCAGAGTTAGAAGATTGTCTGAAAGTTATACGTGATCATAAAAATGTCAGTGATGATGAGGTGTTGAATTCCATAGACAACCTGAAATCAGTGATGACCGATAAGGTTTAACTCTTGATCTCAATTTTGATTAAACAAAAGGATATATCATAGTCTTAAAAGTGTTTATTGGTTTTTGCAGGTTCCTCTAATTGATTCAAAGATCTTTGTCATTGAAAACTCAAGGGTTAATTTGATCAACGACCTTGTCAGACTTTCTGTTTTTGACTACCGCTCTTACATCCTTCGTCCCCTGAAAGAATTTTTGTTGGTTGGTTTGAAACAGAGAGTTTACTTTCATCTTCTCTATGGTTTGGTCTTCCTTATATTATATCTGGTGTCTCGTTGTGTAGGAAGAAATTGTAGATATGGAATGCAAAGCCAAGTTAGCTGCAGCACAAGCAGAACGCTTACTCGAGGAGGAAATGAAATCACAGTCCAAAAAGAATAAAAATAAGAGCAACAAGGTCTTATACTAAAAAAAACCTTTCATATTCAATCTGATTTTCTCTTTAGAGGTAGTTTTTTTATTGTTGATGTCTGTGCTTCTTCTAGGACGAGTTAGCTGCAGCACAGGCGCTGATTTTTTTATCCGAAAACAAACAAGACAAAGAGAAGAATCCGGGGTCAAAGAAAAGGAGACGCAGAAACAGAAAGGTTGTTGAAGATGTGGAATCTCTATTTGCTTCCCTGGTTTTTTTTCCGGTTTAATCTGTTGTAAGAATGAATGGTATTCATGGCGTAACAGAGAACTTCAACAAGCAAGCCTGGAGTTCTTGATCAGAATGTCCAACAGTAAGTACTTTGTTTAGAAGAGCACAACGTGTTCTTAAAAGGCTGTTTGTGTGTTTTTCTCAGAGCACAACGTGTTCTTACATATGTCTAGTGTTACTTCTCCATCACTTAAAGAAGATTCTATGGAACAAGATCAAGAGGAAGCTGCTAAAGGTAACCTTGGTTGTAAAAGAGCTTATCAGTTGACGAATTTTCGAAAACTAGTTTGTTTTGAGATGCAGAAATTCTCATATCTCTCGTTTGTCATCTTCAAGATATGCAAAACATGCCTGGAGAAGAGTCACCGTTGAAACATTTGGAGCCAGTAGCACATGCAGAAGATCCACCCATATATAATTCAGCTCTTGACATGACACTGAAGGTAAAGCAGACACTAGCAAAAAGAGTAGTTCTGAGATGCATAATTTCTTACTTCCTTTTCTTTTGACTACTGCAGGCTCTTTGTCACACTAAGATTCTTAAAGAATATTTGGTGAAAAATCGTAATCAATTTTATGACCACCGGGAAGAACGACTTCCTTGTGCAATAGGGAAATTTTTTACTGCGTTTGTCTCGAAGCAAATGAAAGAAGAGGGTGTCTACAGTTGCCTTTTGAGCGACTTACTTGCTTCCATAGAAGAAGTTTATTCCATGGTTTGTGCGGCAGATAAAATTTCTAAGCATATTGATTTTTAAGTAGAGTTTTGGTTGTTGCCTAAAGGTCATTCTGTTTTCTATTTACTCTTTTCCAAGACAAGTTATGCCGCTGAGCTACTGGTATCCATCCTTGAGTTTTGGCCTTGCTGGGAATGTCCAGAAATAGAAAGCGTGGTCACTCATAATTTTACACTGGAGGAATATGAACGAGTAAGTTGCAGCAGATGCAGACAGAAGCCAAATTATCCAGAGCAAAGTTCTTATGGAATCGTTATAGCTGCAGATTCAATCAGAGACCTGAAGGTGCGTTTCATTTATTTGGCTCTTTTTATTTCCTATAGAAATTGGTACTACCACTTAATAAGTCGTTTTTGTGTGGTTGGTTATACATGCAGTGTGCTTTTGGGAATATAAAGTTTGAGGACATCCTTAAAATGATTCGCATGGAAGATAAAATGTTATGTGACATAAAAACAGGAGGCTGTGGAAAGGCAAACTTTGTTCATCACATTATAAGTAGATGCCCACCTATCTTCACGATCGGTATAAGTTTTGACCTGACCATTATTTTGTCTTTTTTTTTTTGTCAAACAACCATTATTTTGTCTAAGAGGCTTGTGTGATGAGTATAAAACAATGCTGATGTTTTGTGGGGGTTTGCAACGATAGTGTTGGAATGGGAGAAAGGTGAAACAGAAAAAGAAATATCTGAAACAAGAAAGGCTTTGCACTGGGAGATAGATATGAGCAGGTTATACGGTGGCTTAGAACCAAGCACAAAATACCGGCTTGTGTCAATGGTAAATCCTGAAACAGGGTCCTTTCTTCTGTGTTTTGGTCTGTTACAGTCTCACAATATGGAGATGTATGCAGGTTGGTTGTGGTGAAGAAGAAAAAGAAGAATACATATGCCTAGCTTATAAAAAGAACCGATGGGTCAGTTTCAGTGATGGAGCTTCTTCAGCAAAAGAGGTTGAAAAAGACGAAACAGTTTACCTTGAATTTATTCAATTCTTGAAGAAAGGCAGATGTCTTTTCTGGAGTTGAGTCTGTGAACTTAGACATTATTATTGATGTGCAATCACAGGTTGTTGGTAACTGGAAAAGTGTGGTCAGATTCTGTGGAGAAAAGAAGGTTCGGCCAGAGATTTTGTTTTATGAAGCTTTGCAACGGCCTAACAAGTGACAAAGCCATATCAATGTAGAAAACAGATTCATGTATTAACAGTTGCATAGTCCAGTTAATAAAGCAAATTGATACTGAGTTTAAACAAACTTAAAAGTTGTTTAAATAAGTACAGAAAGGAAACATATCAGATTCCTTACTTTTCATTCAATGATCACACAACAATCAAAGCCCTATGAGCCAGCTTTCTTTACACTATGACAAAACATCCATTTGATCTACGTATCCTTCAGGTCACATTATTGAATTGTCTAAACATACCCAACATCTTTTTCAACTTTTTTCACAAAGCTCTATGTTACGGAAAATGATGATACTTAACAAAACTGTGTTGACATTGAGCTGAAGAAAGAAAGAAAAAACATGTCACAGTTACTCTAATACGACGTTGTAAAGCTGTGGAAGTTTTGCATAAAACCCATGAGATTGGAGGCAACTACCTAGTATGGAAATTTTTACATCCTATTTGGTGAAATTTGTTTATGTGTATTTCACAAATTAGTTTAACCAAAATTTTGAATACTTTTCGAAATACCATAAGTTGGATATTTCATTTTAAAAATTCATCTAATCAAAAACACTCTTTAACATTGGACAATTCTCTCAAATAGTCATTTTTTAAGTTTTTATCACAAAAATATACTTCAAAAAATAAAATGACCAAAATAACACTTTGTATTTTGAAAATTTTAAGTTTTTTAAAATATTTTTAAATTCGAAACCCTATCCCAGAACCCCACTCAACTCTAAACAAAAATAAGAGTAGTTAACCCAAGGGTATAAATGTATATTTAATAAAATATTTAAATGTTATTTTGGTCATTTTAATTGTTAATGCCTATATTTGTGATAAAAACTTTTTAGTCTATTCTAGTCATTTTCTCTTTAACATTTGAGTTTAAAATTATTTTGCATTTAAAGCGTAGAATTAAATTTATACTTATATAAATATTTATAAATAATTTAAAATAGTTAATGTGATATTTTGTATCATAAGTTTGATTATTTAAAAAAAATAATGATTTTTTATAGTTAACTTCGAAAATTGGTATCAAATTTGGGAAAATTAGAATTTCCTACATCTGTTGGTAAAAAAAAAAAAATTCCGTACATTTATTTTATTTTTTTGTTTTGTTGGTTAAAAAGTCAAACTAAACTCGATTCCGCAAGCTTTGCTGCTATTGCTCCACAACATTGATCTCCGGCAACAAACAATGGCGAAGCTCACACTTTTCATCTTCTTCTTATCCTCTCTCCTCATCATCTCCTCATCCCTCGCTTTCCAATCAGACGAGCTCCTCGTTGACGACGACGAGTTCGGTCTCGAAGGAGCCAAACCCCAATCCACACCACTCCACACCTCTTCTCCGCAACCGCAACAAACTCCCACTTTCCGCAAACGCTACTCAGATCTGGATCTAGATTCAAAAGTCCAATTCACCCTCGAACACGCCTTCGGCGACTCCGGTTTCTCCCCCGCCGGCACTTTCTCCGCTCGCCTCAAATCCTGGAGCCATGGCGGAAAGGTTCGTATTGAGAGATTCAGTTATATAATGATTTTAGGGTTCCCGATCGCATCTAGACATGCGACTTCTATTATATAGCTATTGTAGTATCCTTTAATATGATTATTGTCACAGCTAATCAAACTGTAACTTTGATCTTTGTTGTGAGGTGCAGACTTTGACTAAGCTGAGGTTCTCAAGGAATGGTTTCTCTGATGAAGAGAAAGATTCTTTCAAAGTAAAATATTTTCCCCTAAAAAAACATTGTTTTCTTTTTTTTTCCTTTGGGATAGAGAGATATAATTTGTAGAAGTTGATGGTTTTTGTTGGAACCTTTTGTTTGTAGAATTTGTTGAAAGGAGATGACTTTTATAGGATTAGACTTCCTTCCAGTGTCATCTCTCCACCTGGGAAAGAGTTTGTCGTTGCTTCTGTCAGAGCTGTAAGTCTCTATCTCTCTACCTTTTAAGCAACCATGGTGCCTACTTTTAATTGAACACATAATAGGTTATAGATTTGTAGTGAGAGTACTGGTTCTGGTTTTGAATGAAATGATTAGTAGAATCATTGAGTTTTGTTCAAGTCACAGACTCACAGTCTTGTCTAATTTGGCTTCCTTTTTTTTCTTTTATTGCTTTCCGGGATCTGTCTGATTATAAAACAATGTACATGTTTTGATTACAGAGATGTCTACCACGGGATGGCTTGGATGAGCATTTCGTTATTCACATGGTAAAACGACGTTTTTTCTGAGCTCAAAATTCTTTTCGTATCTAAGTATTTTAGCTAGTCTGTAATATGAGGGATAAATTTGGGACTATGAATATGAATTTGAATTATATTTCTGTCCTGTCTTGGCTTGCAGGAAGGTGCCAACATCTTGGCAGTAAGTTATGGTTCTCTTGGGGCGTGTCAATATCCTCGACAGTTCAAACTTGTATGTGAAGGATCCTACCACCCCATCTTATCTTTCTTTTTTTTATACTCTAACTGAGACAAATAAAACATGGACTTATCCACCCTTGCATTCGGTATAGATTCTGATCTGCTTATAAACACATATATATGTAATTGAGTAATGATTTTTCAGCGTCCCATTTATTTTCAGTATTTAACATGTTTTGAGTCATAGTATGGAGAACGAAGGTTGCATTATTGTGAGAACTTCTAATTTATGTTTTTTTTTCGCTAACTGTAGCCAGCAAAATGGTCTTTCAACTCCCACACAATTTTGAAGAGCAGTGAGCAGGCACCAAGGTAGAAAACGTTATTTGTATTTTCTTGCATTAAATATCACGTTATAAACTTTTTTATCAGTCCATCAAGTTATATGTATAAACCTCTGCCTGGCTGTTCCACAGAACTCCAATATTCACTGAGGAGATTCTCGGCGGTGAGAATGCAGAGGGCGAAGTTGAACCACCACCAGAGAGATCATTTTGGGCGAAATATGTGAGTAAATACAATAAAAGGAAAACCTGTGATGATTCCTCGTATTTTGGCTTGATGTAAATTTTCTTATGACACTCCAGTGGATGTACTTGATACCTTTGGGACTCGTAGTGATGAACGCCGTGACACAAGCAGCAAACGTGGCTGAAGGACCAACAGGTGGTCAGGCAGGAGGCTCACAAGTTCAGCAATCAGCCAGGAGAAGATGATTTCAATTTTACTTCACACAAAGCAATCAAAGGTAGGACCCACCCCATCACACCTCTGAACAAATTTCTTTTTCATTTGATGTCACTATATCATATGATCCTATGTGAATTTATAGGTCAACTGTATCTGATTGTTAGCTGTTGTTGTTGAAGCAGCATGCAACTGGTGAGAGATGAAGATTAAAGAGATCTCATGTCTTGACAATGTCTTCATGGAAACCATGTTCTCATCACTTGGTTTTATGTAATATTTGATTTTCATCCAGTATAACTGTTAGAACATGAATACCTCTCTCTAAACCAGATGCTTCCAGGCTTGTTTTGATGACTTTTGATTTATGGCTTGTTAACTTGTATTTCTTTGTCTGAATTTGTTGGTAATTTTGAAGGAAGTTAAGAGTAATTTAAGGCCATGAGAGAAACCATCTTATCTTATCCATCAAACTATGCTTATATAAACTACCTTTTTAAGGCGTTTTTGCAAGAAAGTAACTCAATGATCGAAATTATGACATACATGTCATTTAAGTTTTTATTGAATTTAAAATGGGCAATTGTACAGTTGTTTGTTTCTTATATTAAGTTTAGTAACATTAATTCGAGATGATGATAGGAAATGACATATTTATTACTCAATTTGTTTCATTATAAATGTCATTTTAGAATTATGCACACAGATTAAGGAAACAATTAATTTTACATATTTCCTATATAAAAACACAATTATCCATATACATAACCATATTTTAATCAATAGAAAAATAAATTACATAATAAAGTTAATAAATTTTGCATTGAAAACCGAAAACGACATTTATTTTGTAACGAAAAAAATTATCTAAAAGACACTTAATAAGAAACGGAGGGAGTAATTTAAAAGTTGAAATCGGATTGAAAATCCCTTCGTTATTACATGATACTGCAGAAATGAACATCTAAATCAACAAGCATATGCTTAATGCAACACGATACATAGAAAACATAAATTAAACCAAGAAGGAAAAAAAGACATGAAAAACAACGTGATCAGAATTGGTCTGAGAAGAGTTGCGCAGTGTGACTCATACAACTTCACTGAGTAATGGGCACAACATGGACCCCAAGCTGGTGAACCTCGTGACTAGCATTCCCATGGAACCCAACAATTTTGTAACCTTTTTTCTCAACGACGAAGCTTGAGGCCGAATCCATTCCAAATTGTGGAGAGGTTCGTTTATTGGTCTTGAACTTAAGCATAGTTATAACTCCGTTCTCACTTCCAAGTATTTTGTCGTAACAACCCTCCACTGCTGTAATGTATTCATTCGGAAAGTCAACCTCGAACTGCAAAATAAGAAAAAAAATTAAATAGTTAATGTTACATCAATAACAACAATCAGGTGCAATGAACACATAGGTTAGCACGTGGTGTTCATAGTTTCTAATAATATTTTAAAGATATACTAATTGAAATAATGATCACCTCTTCATAGCCCAGCAGTGTTGTCTTTCCATGATCATCTTTTGCAACCACGGAGTTGTTCTTATAATACTCAAACTTGACGGATACAACACCATTCTGACCTTGTCCCACATATATTTTCTTCAAACCATCAAAAGCACCATCGTCCCATAAATCTCCACCATTACCACCTTTTGCTTGTAGTTTTTCAGAGGGAGGAATAGGCACTGGACCAAACCAAGCTCCGAGAGCATCAATAGCAAAACCACACCGTCCATGGAACCCAACAAGAGCCCTACCTTTGCTCTCAAACACGAACTTGCGGCTAAACACATTTCCATATGTGGGAGAGACTCTACCTTTTGATGTTTTGAAAGTTAATGACCTAGCACGATTCGATGGTGCAGAGCCTTGGTCACAGCTCCCCTCAACGGATGTAATATACTCATTTGGATAGTCAATCACAAACTGCAAAAAAAAAAACAAAAAAAATTGTTAAGCCACACACAAACACACATATATATATATATATATATATGAGAAAATGATTAAAATAGCACTAAAATTTTTTTTTTGTCATGAATATAACACTTGAGAATAAAAATGACCAAAATATCACTTAATGTTTTATCAAAAGAGATAAATATACACTTATATCTCAATAATAAATTAATTTAGACATTAGGATTTAGAGTTAATAGGTGGATTTAGGTTTTAGGGTTTAGAGTTTAGAATTTAGGGTTTAGAGTTTAGAATTTAGGGTTTAGAGTTTAGGATTTAGGGTTTAGAATTTAGGTTTTAGGGTTTAGAGTTGGGGAGTGGGGTTTTGAGGATAAGATTTCAATTTTTAAAAAATAAAAAAAATTTAAAATTTTCAAAAGATAAAAAGCTATTTTGGTCATTTTAGTCTTTGATGGCCACGTTTGTGATATAAAGTTATAAATGTGCTATTTTGGAGATTTTTCATATATATATATGTATATTGTATAGTATTAATTTAGACCTCAGCTGTTGTTCCTTGTTGACTTCCGTGGGCAATCGTTTTCAGAATTCCCCCATTGTCATAGTCAGTCTTGATATGCTTTATTTCAGCATTAGTGTATGTGATGTACACTTTCCTTACTCCAGTGTAAGCACCATCGTCCCAATAGGCGCCACCTGAGCCACCTTCGTATGCTTGTTTAATAGGAGGGAGTGTTGTGAAATAAGCTCCCAACGAGTTTAGGTTTGCCTCCGCATATCCATGAAACCCAATAATTTTCTTTCCGGATACTTCAAGTGTAAATTTGGTATAATTCCCATCCTCATATCCAATGACATCAGAAGTCTTGTGGTTTGTTTCGAACTGAAGGCCTTGAATCACGCCTGATACATTGTCGTACCAACCCTTCACAGAGACTAGATGCTCATCTTTGAGCTGGTTAATTTCAAACTGTACAGAAGAATAAGTTACACATTCAGTAACATTAGTATAAAGAAGTTGTAATAAACTGTAAAGCTATAATAAACTTTGCCAAATAAAGGGTATATTTTCATTAGCATACCGGTTGCTGTGTGAAACCTTTACCCATGGTACCATGGATTGGTCCACTTTTGGTTTGTCCATTCTTGACATAATCAAACTGGACGTACTGAATACCTTCAAGACCACCACGTACAATGATCTTTGTTACATTTTCATTGTCAGCTGAATCATCCCACTTGTTGCCTCCTTTTCCGCCCTCTGCTTCCAACGTTTGGGCCATCGTGAATCGCTTTAAACCTTCATAAATATTAACAATTCATATGGTTACTGCACTAAGTATCATTAATAAACTTTAGCATTGTAGAAATATCTTTCTAATATCATTCAGTTATATATTTTATAATGTTCTTACAAGAAAATTTACATCTATTACATCGATATAATAAATCTTACTTGTTATGCCGGAAGAAAGAGGTGATGAACAATGTGCTTTGGTGATTTGATAGATGGAGACGATACTGCTATTTATACACAATTATCTCTTTTAAAGATGAGTATTATTATGTAATCGCGTTTCGGAGAAGCAACATTTAATACTTATGTAGTTTATCGAGTTATTTTTTATATATGCTATAGTGTCTAGAAGAAAAACGTGGATAATAAACATGGCACATCAATGTGATAATAATTTAGAACTTCTTAAGCTAGTTATTTCTCGAGATTCTAAATATACTATAGTATTTTCTTATTTCTCGTTGGAATCGTGGTCTATATATTAACTGATCAAGAAAACCCAGTTGTATTTTGTTAATTCACTTTCAGATCTGGTTTTAACGGATACATACGTAAACGTGCTTAGAATTAATCACAGTTGCTGCAGTGTGAATTTTGAGTTTGACTTTAAATTAAAATTAATAAACTACTTTCAGATTTGTCTTCTGCTTATATCACTAGTCATTTTTATTCTATTTGTAAGGCATTAGTGATAATTAATATGGACTGTTCTGCTATCTTCTTCAATATGTCGACAATACCTTGACCTTTTCTCCTTCAGACAAAAATGTCTCCTCCACGAATTGTATCTCACTATCTCAGATAACTGAGCGTGATCTAATCCGGCTGTGTCACCTAATCAAGCTATCGACCCCAAACAAGGCACATAAGTGAACTAAACTCAACTCAATTGACTTAAGAGGCGATCAAACAGGAATTACACCAACTTAGAGGAAAAAGAAATGAAGTCGGCTATGGAAAAAACTAGCTCAAAGAGAATACATTCTACAATTACACAAAAGTTGGCATAAGAATTAGGGTTTACACATCTTATTGTTCTTCTTGCCACATTCTTAAGCTTTTACGAGTTCTTAATATTTTCTTTTGTAATCAAACTTTTTATTTTATAATTTTTTTTTTAAATAACTCATCATCGAATTTGGCATATTTTCAATACGTGGTGAATTCAAATTAGTCACTTTTCTAACGGTCCACTCTGCCATTGAGGTCATAATTTGTTATGGGCTCTTGAGACCATGAACATTCAGAGAGTTGCCAAGGTCGTGTTTCCAATGGAGTTTTGATAGGCGCAGTGTCGAGGTCCTGGCTTTGCCCTTTTTCAGAGTTATGTCGGGTCCAAATTTATCAATGGATCGGTTCCAATTAAATGTTGCATTTAGCTTCACTAGCTGATTTTTTTTTTATTATGAGTTCGACCTCTGTTGTAGCTCTCATTTCTGCCAGGAGCCATTTGATTTTTTTGGATCCATCTATCTAGTTATCGGAACTTATTTGTTAGGTGAAAAAAACAAAAGATTTGGTAATACATCATAAGATTATCAAAGATCAACACAGTGCAACTCGAGTCTGATGCGTCATACATCATAAGATTATCAAAGAACAACAAAGTTTCTGGAAAGACCTCGTAAACTCATGCAAATCTAACACAAATGAAACAAAAGTAAAGCGACAAAAAAAAAATGTTTTGTTTCTGTTCTTTTATTGGGGCTTAACCAAATACTTCGACACAGCGAGGCATGAAACATTGAAGAATATATTTTCTCTCTTTTTTAAGTAGCCTGAGGATGAGAAGAGATGAAATCAACGGCTTGATCGACGGACTGGATCTTGTCAGCTTCATTATCAGGGATCTCGAATTTAAACTCCTCCTCCAATGCCATCACAACCTCCACACTGTCCAAACTGTCTAACCCGAGATCGTTCTGGAAATGGGCTTTTGGTGTTACCTGCAACAACAGCAACAACGCATGTAAGCCTATGTATATTAAATAGTAGTGTAGAATGCACTAAAATGAAGTTGAGCTGGTTCAAAGAATGAAACATCACTACATAAACACCCATATACTCAGAAATGCACAAAAATGATTGATCATTCAGTTAAACTTCAAGATAATACACATGCTGCATGCTCAAATCACAACATTTCAAAGAAAAAAAGCTTTAAATAGAGTAAAATTAAAACCCTATAACTTTCTTTTATGCAAGATTGTTATGCAATCTTTGCATCAAATGCACAATTTTTTTATTGTTTCTTTTGATTAAAGTATCCCGGGCCTATGCAGAGACCCAGACTAATCGGGCCTATGCAGAGACCCAGACTAATTCCCAAACTAATCCCCAGACTAATAACCAAGGAAAGGTGAGATAAACCGTCTCTCTCCGGGTATTCAAATGGGCCTTAAAGTAGGGCTTGTTCTAGCAAGTATTCTAAGCTCTCTCTCTCTCTACTTAGGCAATGAATCTGATAGTTTTGAACTTTTTAATCAAAGCTTTTCTTGATCTAATCCATTTAACACATTGAAATGCAAATCAGATAAGCTTCATTTTCTAAAAGTCATCCCACAACAAAACAAAATCACTAAAGATATTTTAATTACAATACTTAAAAACTAAAAATGAGAGTGGAAATGGATCGAAAACCTTTGAGGGATCGACTCTTTGGAAGTTTTTGACGACGGAGACGACGCGATCTGTGACATCGGATTTGTCTAGAAACGATCCTCTTACTTCCTCCGAGAAACGGCGAACAAGGACGGTGAAAGGGAGCGCACACTCTCTTGCGCCGATTGTTGTATTGTTGAGGGATGGAGTGACGTTGACTCTAAGGTATCGGAGAAGAGCATTTCTCGCCGCCATCGCTAATGTGGTTTCAGTTTGCAGAAGATGGAAAGACAACCCTAGAACCCTCGAGAGATGGACACTTTAGTTTTGCCTTATTTGTTAGGTGCCAAACGACGTCGTAGTCTGTGTATTGGGCTTTTTGGTAGGTCACATTAATATTGGGCTCGTGTGTCTTTAGATCCACTATCAGCTTTGTTTGCAAAGAAGATTCTTTTTCTTTTGTCAACTGCTAACTGTGTTTGCATACACTACACCCAGGTTTAGTGGCGGTGACTTCTTTATGTAATTGAAAATAAGTTTGGTAAAAAATAAAGGAAAACTTTGAATTAAAACAAAAAATTATTTATTGAACCAACCAAGATTCGAACCCGGGAGTGAGAGAGTGTGTAAGTTTAGCCTATCATAAGAGAATGATTGTAATTTGACTATCTTTTGTGTTATTTTCACATTTGGAAAATATTCTGCATTCAAAATCAAAAATTAAGTCATTTTTGTAAATTGCCCTTTCGTTTGATCATCATGAAAATATGTGGTTTGCAAAATATATATATATATATATATCATCAAAATATGTGAGTTGTCATCTGACTAGTTTTAAAGCTGTGTAAGGCCACTTCATACAATTTTCAACAGATTAATTGTATGTATATGGAAGTAATGTACTCACAAGGCTATCTTTCTGCCACGATGTATTAAATTTTTGTCATTGACCAACGAAGCTGTATGGGTATACTTTTTTGTGTGCTATCTCCTTCACTGCAATGTTCTAATTTCTAAGGGAAATCACCAAATCAGCTTTAGGAAAAAATCTCATTTTGTCACCTAAAGAATCTGATCCTTCCAAAAAAGAAAGAACACTCTGTTTCATTACCATTGGCAAGGTTTCAATATTTTTGATTCGATAATGGTATGGTAATGAAGTGGTAAATAAATTATAATAAATAAGGACCCCACATATTCCCTCAGCAAACAAAACATTTTTTCTGCAAAAACGATAATAAATGTTTTTAACAAATAATTGAAAAAAGTAGCTCAAGAGAAAGAGAAGTAGGACGAAGAAGAGAGAAACATCAAGTCATTCACTTACTTTAGCAAGCAAATCCCTAAACCCCACAACTCTTTCACAAAGCAAGAAAGATTTTAGCAAGGAAAAAAAAAATGAAAGCTTTAGAAGAATCAAAAGTCTCTATTGTTTTGTGGCTTCTTTGCTTCTCAGTCTTCTTCACTTCCAGTCTCCAGGTTAGTGTCTTTTCTTCTCATCTTTTACCCATTTACTTCTCAATTTGACTTCTTTGCTTAGATCTTCTCCTCATTTCATTTGGGTATTTCTAATTTTGTCAGAAAAGACTGAAAAAATTGAATCTTTGAATTGGTAACCGAAAGCTAATTTTCAAAGTTTTGAGCTTTATTTCACTTTAGAAAATGGGTATTTTAGCTTCTTCTCAATTGTTTCTGGGCTCTGATTGGATTTAATGTGGAATTTGTTAGGAAAATGAGCTGACAACAGCATCTAAAGAAGAAGGAGAGATGAGGATGGTGCCATTAATGGAGGAGAAGTATATGGTGATGAATGAAACAAGAAGGAAGCTTGGGAGTTTCCAGATATGTTCAGTTTGTACTTGTTGTGGAGGTGCTAAAGGTGCTTGCTTGCCTTTACCTTGTTGCTTTGCAATTAACTGCAACATCCCTAATAGACCCTTTGGTTATTGCTCCTTCACTCCCAAATCATGCAATTGCTTTGGTTGCCACATCTGAGACTGTAAGCTTCTAATTTTCTACACATTATTGGGTTCTTCTCATTTTCTTTTGTTTTGATGTTTGGTTTTAATTAATTCAGGGGCAGAGATAAGTAAATCAACAACATGGTTTCATCTGCATTAGTGTGAAAGTGAAGAAAAGAAGGAATATGTGTGTTCTTGGTTTGGTTCTTTATTTTTATATTTTTGTTCATAATTCTATATTCAGCTTTCATTAAATTTCATTACCTACTATCTTCAGCAACATCATCATCCTCATTAATTGCATTGCCATTCTGATAAAGAAATTAAGGTCTTTTTGGAGGATCTTGTTCACACTTCAAGCTAGATTTGTTTTTTCTTTGCCTCTCTTCAATCAATTTATGTATCATGTTTTCTTTTTGTTTTTTTCCTTCTTCAGTTTACCCCAATTTGTTTCTCATTCGTTAGTATTTTATCACCAGGATTGTACTTGTAGCATATTTTGGGAAGAGTCTTTTTGTTTTGTTAAGTTGGCAATGTGGAAGATTAATATGATGATGATGGTGTTGATGGTGATGGAAGTGATGTTGAAGCTGGCTGTCAAAGCTAAGTCTTTTGTGATGAGTGATATGTTAAGATTATTATTAAGAAATGGATAAAGTTAAGTAATTAGTGCTCTGTTTTGATCTGATAAGATCTTAGTGCTCGTTAGAGTTTAAAATAGACTGAAATGAAAGAGTATTTTGAGTAAAATATAATTATTCAGCTTCAAGTGCAAGGACTAGAGAACATCTTGTCATCATCTTTGAATATGTTTATTTTATTGAAAGTGCATAGAGACATTGTTATTGTAATAAGAGATGTTTGAATCAAATGTTTGTCTAATTTTATTCTCTCTCTCCTATATCTTAGCATTTTTAATCGGCAAGATCTGGAATTAATTACTAATTGTTCATTATTATTCTGTTTCTCACACATGACACATCAAAAAGCTGTCTAGTTTACAATTTAGTCAATGTTGGTGGTATGACTTTGATCATATCAGTTTCTTAGTGATTGCCTTTTTAGAAAGGTACAAATTGTATGGAAAATAGAAATGAGATATGAAAAAAAAAAAAACTTTTTTGGAGAAGTTTAAGCATAAAATCTCATTTACTCATTTACAAACAGAGTATTTGGTCTCAAGCTCAGTAATTAAAACTGACAATAGTTTCAATTCACTCTCCAAAACACATTTACGAACTAAGAATACATATTGTCAACAGATTCAGAATATAGTGGTGACTTAGTAGTCCAAGTGTGATAGGAGGCAAAAGAGATAGATTGCAATGAATCGACTATTAAGTGTGTTGGAAAGTAAGTAGGTTGGAAAGTTGAGAAATCACATTTAATCCCCAATCGTATAATTAATAAAATGCCATGAAAAACAAACAGCTTGCATTTTGATTGTGAATCAAAGTTCTGATTGCCAGATCACGTACCTACGAAAAGTCTAAAATGATCAGACTGTATTTCAAGTCATCTTTCTTTGTTTGGTCAACTTGAGGGTTTATTAAATACATTTGGTGGTGTGTTTTAATATCTAGAGCTAACTTCATGAACCTCTCTATTCCTATACATTGTTTTCTTTAGCTATAATAGCCAGCTTGTATTATCTGTAGTATGTCTTACAAAAACAATACAAATCTGTTTATAGATATGCTCACTATAATATCAACAACAGTCCATATAGTAGTGTATGAAAAAGATCTTTATCCAAAAAAGAAAATCTTTACCTGTCCAAACATAAATATAGCTCTGATACTAAATTCACTAGTACATAATTCAAACTCCCAAAACTATGTCAACTTTCTCAGGAAAACAGACAGAGAAACTGTAATCATTGTGATTTGTGTAGCCTTAGCTTTGACTTTCATTACCAAAACCTTCATACAAAGGAATAAAAGTAGAAGGCTGTTTTGTAACAGCAGCTAAGATCTCTCCACAGCCCACAACTCCAACCAGAACATCATTAGAATCAGCTTTTGTCCAAACTTGTGTGGCTGACTATGAGACAGCATCTGAGCCATAACCGCAGTCAAAGAGTTCGATGTTTTGCAAGTCAACGGGCCACTTCTTCCCCTGTACATACTTCTGCTTATGCTCAGTCTTGTTGGATTAACACCGATGCTCCTGCTACTGAATTTCCTGGCCTTTGTTGTTGTTACACATGGTGGCCTTTGGTTGGCCTCAACTCAATGACTGGAAGAGAGGCTTCAATGGAGAATCTCATGCTCATACCTCTCCAAACAACGCTTTTGGGAACCAGAAGACGTCTCACTCCTTGTTTCATCATCTCCAAAGCATCTATCAACCTTGCATTACAAGGAATACAATAAAATTATCATCATAACAAACATTTGATCTTAGTGATCACAAAAAATTGTATAAAGGAAAGAATGTTCTTCCAGTAACACATATCTGCAACAACAGAGGAGCCTACAATTTTCCAGGACGCTAGCAAAATGAACCTATATAAAGTAACAAGAATATGGGAGCCAATCCTAGTTCAGAGTGTAAAGTAGTTGGTTTTATAGAAACATCAGATTCTAAGTCTTTGACATACCAGGGAAACGTATGTCATTGCCGGAGAAGAAGGCAATGTTGAGTCATTTGATGGAGCCGGTGATGTCATTCGCCTGAAGCTTCGTGAACCAACTATTGCACTGTTCCAACCACAACTCGTTTGGGCTTACTTGATTGTCATTTAGGTTTTTTTTTTTTAATCAGCCACCCATCTTAATTAGATCAAATAGTGGTAAAACGAGCTGATTATCCGAGGAGCATCTCCGTCTGCCTGTATCTGATCTATATGGGAAAATGTATAGTCTTTGGTCCTTATTTTTTTACTAGTGCGTCCGTTCAACTATTCTTACTCCGAAGAATATGAGACAGACACTCATCCTCAAATTTTTTGTGTAATCTTCGAAACACTTCGATTTCTGTCGTGAAAGTCGGTCAATTCTTCGAATTTGAAATCATATTCACTAGGTTTCAGCAGTCCTTCTCAAACCGTATCGAAATTATCCTCTAGTCTCTCATACGTGAACTTTGTCCAAAATAAACTTTTCATCTTAGCATGCAAAACTAAAAAGTTCCTTCTAGCACACACTTAATCTAAAGACTTCATAATCTATTTGATCTTTAAGACTACATCCTAATGGTCCTAAACCATTAACATTGTTATTACCAATTCATAATGCTTTAATTTCATAGGTAAAGATTTGGGATATGTGCGATCTAGACGTCTATAAAAAGAGAGTTATCATGATTCTCATTTTTTTTTTCATTAGTTTTTTTCCAACATTCAACTTTTATGTTTATATGAAAGTAAAAAGTTGTAAAAAAAATTATTTAATTTATTCATTAAAAATTAACCAAGCTTTTTTTAATGTTCTGAGAATACTAATTTGCTTTTAACAAAAAAAAAACAATCATTTTTTAAACACAAAAACAATCATATTACATTAAATATTAGTAATAAATAATGTTCGTGCCGGAACTAAAACAAAAGCAGCGAAAAAAAGAGAATGTTGTGTTCTGTCTTTATCTCCCACTTCAAGGTCGCGTTGCTTCACTCTCCATTTACAGAGAAAGCTACAATGAAAATCGCAAACTTCACCCTCTTCTTCTTCTTCTTCTTCTTCCTCCTCTTCTCTCCTTCACTACCTCTATCTCAATCACAGCCTCCAGAGCTCGACCCACAAGACAAAGCCTCCTTACTCATCTTCCGCGTCTCGATCCACGACCCTAACCAAACCTTATCAACATGGTACGCCTCAACATGTTCCAACTGGACAGGTCTATCCTGCCAAAACCCCACCGGAAAAGTCACCTCCCTCACTCTACCCGCCTCGAATCTCTCCGGTCAGATTCACACATCTCTCTGTAAGCTCACTTCTCTTCAAATCTTGGACCTTTCAGGAAACAATTTCTCCGGAAACATCCCCACTTGCTTCGGCGCGTTGCGTGATCTCAAAACACTGAATCTTAGCCGCAACAGTTTGGTTGGTTCGATTCCTGGAACGTTTGGTAACCTCAAGGAGCTTAGAGAACTCGTTCTTAGCGAGAATCGAGGTTTGAGAGGTGTTGTTCCTCTCTGGGTTGGTGAATTGATGAATCTTGAAAGGATTGATTTGAGTTTCTGCTCGTTTCTTGGAGAGATACCTGAAAGGTTACTGTATTTGAAATCATTGAAGTTTCTGAATCTTGAAGGGAATAACTTAACCGGTACACTTAGAGATTTTCAACAGCCTTTAGTGGTGCTTAACCTCGCTTCAAACCGGTTTTCCGGTACATTGCCTTGCTTCTACGGTTCTCGTCATTCTCTTAGTGTTATGAATCTTGCTGACAACTCTCTCGTTGGTGGATTACCTTCTTGTTTGGGTTCTCTAGCAGAACTGACTCATCTAAATCTTTCTTTCAATGGATTTACCTACGAGATATCTCCACGGCTTATGTTTTCGGAGAATCTAGTGTTGCTAGACTTGTCTCACAACGGGTTCTCAGGCCGTCTCCCTAGCAGAATCTCTAAGACGACTGAGAAACTTGGTGTGGTTCTTCTCGATCTCTCTTACAATAGATTCTCTGGTGAGATACCCTTGAGGATCACCGAGTTAACGCGCTTACAAGCATTGCGTCTCTCTCACAATCTTCTCTCTGGAGATATCCCCGCGAGGATCGGGAACCTGACGTATCTACAAGTCATTGATCTCTCTCACAACGCGTTGACCGGTTCGATCCCTCTCAACATTGTAGGTTGCTTTCAGTTATTAGTCTTGATGATCAGCAACAACAACCTCTCCGGGGAGATACAACCGGAGCTCGACGCGTTGGACAGTCTTAAGATACTTGACATAAGTAACAACAGGATCTCTGGTGAGATCCCGCTTACTTTAGCGGGTCTTAAGTCGTTAGAGATTGTGGATATAAGCTCCAACAACCTTTCGGGAAACTTAAACGAGGCGATTACGAAATGGTCTAATCTCAAGTACCTCTCTCTTGCAAGAAACAAGTTTAGTGGAACACTTCCTTCTTGGTTGTTCAAGTTCGATAAGATTCAGATGATGGACTACTCCAGCAATAGATTCTCTTGGTTCATACCTGACGATAACTTGAACAGTACACGGTTCAAAGATTTTCAAACCACTGGATCTGCACCAGGGAAGGTAGAGATTAAGATATCAGCGAATGTGGTTGCTAAAGACGAACTAAGCTTCAGTTACAATCTCTTATCGATGGTTGGGATTGATCTTTCTGATAATCTGTTACACGGAGAGATACCTGAAGCTTTGTTCAGACAGAAGAACATAGAGTACTTGAACTTGTCGTACAACTTCCTTGAAGGTCAGCTTCCAGATTTGGAGAAGCTGCCAAGGCTAAAGGCATTGGATCTTTCACACAACTCTTTATCAGGTCAAGTCACTGGAAACGTGACGACTCCACCAGGGCTGACGCTTCTGAATCTATCTCACAACTGTTTCTCTGGGGTCGTTACCGAGAAACAAGGGCTTGGGAAGTTTCCGGGGGCTTTGGTCGGGAACCCGGAGCTTTGTGTGGAGTCTTCAGGGAACAAGTGTGATCCTGCGGAGATTGATGGATCAGAAGAGGAGATATATCAGAATGAGTTGGTGGAAGGACCGATATCGATTTGGATATTTTGTTTGAGTGCGTTTATTAGCTTTGATTTTGGTGTGTTGGGTGTGTTCTGCTCGTCTCGTGCTCGGAGTTATATTCTTCAGACCAAAGGTTGAACTTGTCTGAATCGTACTGATCTGATAATGTATATTCTATTTCTAACACACTTTTGTTGTCTGAGATGTGAACGGTTTACATATGACGAATTTCCAAATGTGTTGTTGTTTGTTTTACTAGTCAGTCCTATATATGCTTATCTCAAATGTTGGTTTGTGTATAGAACTTAAACCGGTTTACTTTGACCGGAGACCTTTTCAATCATGACTGAATGTTTTACTCAATGTTTGATTGAATAAGGTCATCTTCCCGGCTTTATGGTAACTCTTTTACCTAGGCCAAATTTTTTATCCGAATTCGATACAAAATCCGCTTTAGATTTGTTCTGAAATTAGGATATCTTAATTTTTAGATTTAGATATCCAGATTCGTATTTTAAAAAATATTGTAAATTTTTTATTTTATTATTAATTATATCTGATATATTAATATTTATATATAAAATAAGTTTAATAATATTTTATTTTTATATTAATAATATTATATGTTATGTATATATATATATTCATAAATTATGCTTAAATATTTAGTTTATGTATTATTTTTAGAATTTTTGATTTTTTTTTTATATTTTATAATTATTTTTACGATCTGAATTTGAATCCCGATATCCGTGGATATCACAAGATCTAGACAAATATTCGGAGACCGGATATCTGAAAGACACGAATTCGAATCCAGATACTAAAATCACGGATTCGACGAATCTGAATCCGTATCCGGATACTTTAAAGTTCTCAAATATCCAGATCCGTACCACCGCTAGTTTACCAAACCTCTCCGTTTGATATGAACAATAAAAAAAAAAGAGATATATTCATGCGAAACTCGTTTTCTCCGACACATTAAATTAATAAAATTATTATCACAAACGCAGTTTTGCTTTAAATCGGTGGAAAAACGCTATTATTCCCCGTTCACAAAGAAGTTCCATTGATCAGTGTGTTTTTTAATTCTTCTGGGTCGTCAAAATTGGTACCGAATTGGATCAGTTCTTAAAGATCCAGAATCAATGCTTTCGTTATCCTCTTCTTCCTCGCTACGTCCAAGCTTACACTTCCATGCTTCTTCCCACCAATCTGTCCTTACCGCAACAACAAGAAGAAGTATTAGTTCGTTTCGTCGGAAAGTCGTTTGCTGTTCCACAGCCACTAAATTCGATGTAATTTCACAAAGTTTCTGTTTTTTTTCTGCCAATTGCTTTACTTCAGCTTATGCTTAAAACAAATGTTTTGATTATCTGCAGAGTCTGTCAAAGTCAGGAGGAAGAGGAGGTTTGCTACGAGAGCCTGAGAATGATGATTCGGATGTTCTTATAGAGTGTAGAGATGTCTACAAATCATTTGGGGATAAACATATCTTGAAAGGTGTTAGCTTTAAGGTAATCTTGCTCATGATTTGTACTGGGTCTTTAGATTATGTAATAAAGCCTTCAGATTTTTACAGTCAAAACAGATTCTAAACTTTCTTTTTGTAATGTAGATTAGACATGGGGAAGCTGTTGGGGTAATTGGTCCTTCTGGGACTGGAAAATCAACCATTTTAAAAATCATGGCTGGTCTTCTTGCTCCTGACAAGGTCTTTCCTTTTCTCTACCTTAGTTAGATCGTAGCTCTTGGATTGTCTCTAATACTTGGTGGTATGCTCAGGGAGAGGTTTATATAAGAGGTAAAAAACGAGCTGGTTTAATAAGTGATGATGAGATATCAGGACTTCGTATTGGCCTTGTAAGTTGCTCTTCATAGATATATTTTTACCATTAGTTGTTTATATCTAATGGTTTTTTTTTTTGTAGGTTTTTCAGAGTGCAGCTCTCTTTGATTCTCTTTCAGTTCGTGAAAATGTTGGTTTTCTACTGTAAGTTTTTATCCTTTACCGTCTTACTACGTCACCTCATTTCTCTAGCCAAAAGGTCTTATTGTTTAAACCTTCCATCACAGCTATGAAAGTTCAAAAATGTCCGAGAATCAAATATCTGAGCTTGTGACACAGACATTAGCAGCTGTTGGTTTGAAGGTCTCCTAATTATTACATTAGTTATGAAATATTTGCTAGTTAGAAAACATCTGGTTGTTATAATCTTTTTTTTTTTCTGATAAGATCAGGGTGTGGAGAATAGACTACCTTCTGAGCTATCTGGTGGGATGAAGAAAAGGGTTGCTTTAGCTCGTTCCCTTATTTTCGATACAACAAAAAAAGTCATAGAGCCAGAGGTAAAATCCTAACATCTACTCAAGTTCATGAAAGCACTTTCTTCTCTAAAGGCTTAGCTTCTGCATTTGTATAGTTAGTTCTTAATGAAAGTTTAGTTCGTCAATCATCATGCACTGCTTTTGTTTTTCTTCTTAGGTGCTCTTGTACGATGAGCCAACTGCTGGACTTGATCCCATTGCATCTACTGTAGTTGAAGATCTTATAAGATCTGTTCACATGACGGGCGATGAGGATGCACTTGGGAAACCTGGAAAGATCGCCTCTTATTTGGTTGTTACCCATCAACATAGCACCATTCAAAGAGCTGTAGACAGGTTCTGCTTATACTAGTCCACATACACAATATGGTTTTGCCTTCATTACCTTGAGAATTTTTGGTTTCTTCTTTTCAGGTTATTGTTTCTGTATGAAGGAAAGATCGTCTGGCAAGGAATGACACATGAATTTACAACCTCAACAAATCCAATAGTTCAACAGGTCCTTTTTTCTCACATCTTTACTTCTAACTTCAAACAAGAATCAAGAACATGGAAGTATTTCAAATGCAGTTTGAGTCATACATTGTTTTTTTATGTATCTCTCAGTTTGCTACAGGCAGCCTCGACGGACCAATTAGATACTAAGGGACACACAAGAAGTGGTGATACATTGCCTAAACAATGCCAAACTATATACTTTGAGTTGAGTTGTGTCAAACTCCTCTTGCTCCTGTTAAGATTATATAGAAACTAGTCCAGAAGATTCTTTATTTCTTCCAAAACAAAGCTTATGCATGCTTGTAAACACTCTTTCTGTCTTAGTAGCTTAGCTCAGAAAAGCATTGTAACTTGAGATTTCTTGTTTGAATGAGAATATGGTTTTTAAAGTGGCCAAGGATCCTAGCGAACATACGCCTTAAGTTAAGTTATGTATGCAGCCTCCTCTAACTCTCATCAAAATTCTAGAGAAACTGTCTATAGACTAAAGCAATTGATTCACAAGATTCTCACAATTACTCCAAAACAAAGCTTAAGAACTAGTTGTAAAACAAGTGAGAGTATAATGCAGAGCTCAGTGCAAAGAACAAGACTTGCGGCAAAACTGAAACTTGAGTTTTTAGAACTGATACACACTTGTGTTGTGACTCTAATCAAAGGCTCTCTCTCTATCTATACACAAACATAACTCATAATAAGAGTAGAAGAACAGATAGTTTCAACTACCTAACTTGAAAGCATCAACAAAGAGACCCAAACAAACACCAGCTTTCCAGAAATTCATAAACACAACAAAAGACTGCAACCTCCCTCCAGAATCAGAAGAATCCATCTTCTTCTTCTTCTTATACATAAGCATACCAATTCCTTCAATAGCAGCCACCACAATTCCAGCAACAAGCACGTCCCAATCCCCAGTTTGGCCAAGAATAGTAGCTAACGCATTAGCAGTGTAGAAACCAAGAAGCAGCAAGAATATCTTCATGGGAAAGTCTTTCCTTGCAGAGTTTATCTTCACAAGAAGTTGTTTCCCTAACGCAACCGCAATTCTGCCTAATCTAGTGCTACTTAGACCTGTTCTGTCTCCATCAATTTCTCCTCCGTTGTCTCCAGGGGGAGGAACTGAAGAGCCTGTGTCTAAGGCAAATGCTATTCTCTGGTTTGGTCTTCGAATCTGTAAACTGTTAACAGAAAACTTTCAAGTGATGAACCAAAAGGAAGACTCTTTTTTTTTTTTTTAAGGATCAGAATAGAGAAAAATGGTACCTTTTCATGGGATTGATTCTTGTGTGGAACGTATTTATCATAAAGGTTCGACCTTTATCGATTTCGATGATTGAGAAGGATGGTGTTAAGATGCGTGAAGCTTGAATTTGAGATGCCATGAGGAGAAACAGGACTCGCTTTGGATTTAGGGTTTTTTTCTTCTCCAACGTCAAAATGCGAGAAGCTTTGCTGCTTGGAAGGAGATTTTAGAGAGACAGCCTTTGTGTTCTGTAGTGAGAGATGGAACAACAATGGCTAAATTACTCTATAAATATTTCAATATTATAACATTTACACCAAAAAAATAAAAATAAATAAATATTCAATATTATTGAAATGTAATTTTTTTTAGAGAAAATTCATTATATTTTAGCATTTGGATTTAATGATTATTGGGTGTTCAAAAAAAAAAGATTTAAGGATTATTGTTTAGAATATATTATTTAGAAGATGAAACTGAGTGTATTAACTTATATAAATATTTTTTTAACATTTATGAATGATTTAAGAGACTTGAGTTCACCAAAAAAAAGGAAGTATTTAAAATTAAATTTGAAATATAATACCAAATTAGTGGTAAAACTCGATTTTTTAATAAGATTTTTTTTTAATTGTGGTAAAATTAGATTGTACAATGACTAGTGATAAATAATTTTTGTAGCTATGAACAGTACTCTGTAAAGTTTTGTTTACATATTCATCTATTATAAATATAAACCCAAAAAAGCCAATTTATAATTATATTGTAAAAGACTTATTCAGCTCTCATATTCCAAAAAAAACAAAAACAGTTTCAAAGACACTCTTCCACCTTGACGATAGAAGCGATACAAAAACATTTTACTAATACAGTCTTTTTAAGATACAGTCTTTTTAAGAAGCATTCTTTTCTTCTTCACCGGCCATGCTCACAAATTTGGCAAACGGTGACTGACTTTGGATTGACAAGTGTGCAACGTTCACAAGCCCATTGGCCTCCTGATGAATCCGAGCTGCTGGCAGCAGCTCGAGAACTAGATCCCTTTGTTTTCCCACCTAAACTCTTTGAACTTCCGGCTCGACCATATGCACCATGCGAGTTCACATCCGGTAACCCATTCTCCAACGCTCGAACTAAGTTCTCGAAATAGTTTTTGGTCACACTGTTCAATTTTCAGTCATTTAAATGTTATTAGCTTCTTTTCTTTTACTCAGGTCTAAGTTTTAGTTTCTTTTACCTTGTTAAACCTGCCAGTTTTGTGCGGAACTCATTAAAATCTTCTGATGGACCTTTGGCTTCAAAGTACAACTTCAATTCTTTTTCAGCACATTGATGAAGTCGTTCAAGGCCCGACTCAGCTTCACCTAAATCCATATGATAACACAAGAGCAGAAATCAAATGATACGCACAATAAAGAATGTTACCATCAAAAAGTTCTAACAAACTGAAATTAGTGGGGTCAAAGATGATACTGAATCATGAACCAATTGGCTAAGTTTAGGATTAAGCTGGGCAAATTGTTATGAATCACGCTTGACCATAGAGTCCACATTATCTCACGCAAGGTATTATTCTAAACTAATCTTTATCTTACTAAAGACTACTCAAGGAATCAAAAACAAGATTTTTGGAAGAGAAGGTTAAATGTAAATTTGAGAATTAAAAAAAAAGTTACCTTGTAAGTACTCGAAAAACTCTCTCTTTCCATGCTCATGGTCAGGTATGTAAAAACCATAAGCATATGTCCATTTAAGAACTCGTCTGCATTCGACTATCTAATGATCGCAGAGCAAATTAGTGGGTGAAGTCCAAAAGTCTAAGATACCTGACAGGAGAAAAGGGATGTTACCTGTAACCACGCTTCTATAATGAACTTAAGTTGTGATTCAGGCTGACACTGTATGTCACTAAGCTTCTCAATCTGTGAAGTCAATAAGAAAAAGCTTAAGTGAAACCAAACATTATAAAAAAGAAAGAACGCTCATCGAAAGTAAGACGTGTCATGCATGGCAAATTAGATAACAAACAATATGCTTTCTGTTGTAAAAAGATCATCACTAGTCTATAACTTAAGCAAACTTTCTGTACTTATTGGATATTAAATCTCAAATGACTGATTAGTAAAAGAACCAGCGAGATGGTGAAGGAGGAGGAAACACCAACGATACAAGAAAGTTCAGTTTTTTCTGCCATCAACCAATACTTCTTTGATGATTCTTATTTACATGAAAATGTGTTGTACTGTAAGCTTACCTCATCTGTTTGCATCCTCTTAAGATCCGTCAGCGCCTTTTGCCTAGACTGCAGCAAGCAGTGAAAACATTTGTAAATCATTTTAGAATAAACACCAATGGACTTTTTGTAAATAGGAAAACTCTTATAATTTAGGGTCACTATTCAACAAAATGTACATTTTACGCGAGGGAAACATGAAAAATTAAGGCAGAATGTTATGGATAAGATAAATTCCAACGTTCATTATAGTCTCTCTAACGACTAATTTCATTGATATACTTAATATGCCATAGACTATTACGGCAGTACTATGCTCTAGCAGTTACACGACTTGTTAACAATCTATTACTCCAATAAAAAACTACTCAAAATACCCCAGCCCCAAAGAAAAAAAAACCCTGTCAAAATACCCTAGCCCCAAAGAGCATAAGCCAACGAATAAACAAACTAGCTTGTAAAATTCTCACAACTAGAGGACAGGTTCCTTATCCAACAAATACATCACACACATGTACGTCTATGTTACATAGCCTATATCTTTTCCAAATCCTCCAGCTTCACTTCTTAATTTTCCAAAGTTGTCAAAGAAAATATAGATTTTCATATCTTATAGTACTACATCTCTACCTCGAAAAACTATAAACCTATGCACTTAGGATTAGTCATTTAACATCAATTAATGAAATAGTTCATCTATTTTTCATGGTACATTGATAGATTTTTTGTTTCCAAGCAGCAGATTTTAAATTGGCTTCTGAAAATCTCTCTTTTTAGTTCTCCTTTAAAGCAGAAGGTAAATTAAATAAAGAAAAATTGACATACCGATTGATTGGTTGCCCATCTTTCATAGTAGTGGGTATATCTCTCAAGGGAGTTTTTTGCCATCTCTCGGCGTTTTTCAGTCTCATCATACTACACAAAAGATTACGAAAGACATAAAATGGGTTCAGTGATTAACTAAAGATATTTAAAGTCAGTCAGGGGCAGAAGCAAAGTAGAGAATTCATACAATGCCGTCTTGCTTTGCTGCATCATAACGGTTACAAGCATAAAAGCCACCTGTCTTTTCACCATGCTCTGTCCATGCTCCAAGGCAGAGCCTACATTTACATAATACAGATACTTATGACGAATATTAACTGAGAGCAACAAAGACTCAAACATAGCCAAATTCATATGAGGATCGGATAACCAAGCAGAAAGAAAATTACTACAGTATCTTTCAAACCTAAAATAAAATAATTTACTTATTTTCCAACTTGCTTCGGAGAATAAAATGTAAAAATTCAATTCTGAGTCATGGTTCCAGGACGCATAGAGAGAACAGAAGCAGAATTTATGATATCATAGCATTCTGTATAATCAACTTACCAGCAGAACTCATATTTACATGGCGGGGTACATGTAATATGCATACAACCTTGATTCTTCTCTATTGGCCGTTTACATTTTGGACAGGGCTTCGAATTTGCTAAAATCCTGAAAGACAATATAGAGTTTAGAAGCAACAATTCACAACGTTTAGCACCCTTTTACGGTCGAACACAACATCCCAAACATCTACATATTTCAACTATATCTGATCAAATCAACGTACCAATTCATATTCTCGGATTCAGCGCTATTCTTCATTACCCACTTAGATACTGTGTCACAATCTACAGGACGGTGAGCTTCTTCAGCACACTGCGGTCACATGACGTTCGAGTCATACGGTTTGGTCATGTCAATTAGTTACTACGCAATGGAATGATGAAACTTGAACTGAAAGAGCGACTTACATTCCAGCAGAAACTGTAAGAACATCGACAATTCACATCATAACTACCACTCCCAACGACAAAGTTTACAGCGTAGTCACAGCCTGGGGCAGGACACCACTTGGTCTGAAGGATAAAAAACACTAACATTATGCACTGCTTTTCATTTGACGGTTAGAAGACAAATAAACATCATGCACATGCCTAAAGTATAATCAAACTGGAACTGATAGTTTACCTTTCTATTGTCCTCAACATATGATCTAACAAAATAACTAGTGTACTTGTCCCTATCCTTCTCAGGAGCTAACGAATTGATCATATCCTGACCAATAGCAGCATTGCAAGAAGGATCAGGGCATCGTAACATAAGACACCCTGGACCATCATTAATCGCCGTGGACATGTAACCTAAAGATGGGTGGAAAGGTCAGACAACAGCAATGAACCATCATTAAACAGTAATGCTTATATGTCGCATACTTAAAGAGAGTACTTTGCAAGTTTAATCTACACATGCGTTTGAGAGATATGTCTCAATAATATCAGGATGGCAGTAGAACAAACCTTCCCAGCATGAATCGCAAAAAGGGTGACCACAAGCAGCAGCATGTAATTTAACAGAAGGGAGAGTCTCGAAACAAATACCACAGGTAAGCTGCCAAAATTAGAAAGAAACAAAAACCAAAGTTTAATTCTTCCAGATAATTTTTTACAATGTCAGAAAGAAACTAAAAGGAGACATACTTCAGCTTCAGGATCAGAAGGGAATTCAACAAGAGGTTTATCCAACAAGCCAACAGCATGTCGGACTTTTTCTTCATCAGCAAACCATTCATCATGAACTCTGCTAACACACCTAAAGAATACCCATAAAATGATGATATCAACACCAAAGACAATTAAAGAAAACATTACCAAAGTAGTGATTTTTAAGATATATATAAGAGACGAAAAAGTCATAAACACAAACAAGCAGGACCTGCCCTGAGATTTTGAGGGTAGACGATTTAGTAAGGGTTTTAATAAAAAGAAACTCTTTTAACAAATTTGGTAGCCTATTTCTACATAATTTTCTTAAAAACTGTGGGGGCTATAGGCCAATCCTTGACTAGCATGGCCAGGACCGGCCCTGAACTTCTGCAGGCTATAGACTTTAGTAAAGTTTTTAATTAAAAAAAAAGATTTATACAAATTTGGGAGCCTATTTCTATGTAATTTTTTACCATAGGCTAATGTTTAACTAGCATATGCCTAGGACACTCAAATGAAGTTGGTCTAAACACAGACAAGCAGAGATTACGATTTAGTAAGGGTTTAAATAATTTTTTTCTACAAATTTAGGAGTTTATTTCTATTTAATTTTCTTCAGAAAATTGGGGTCATAGGCCAATGCTTAACTAGCCTAAGCCTAGGACCAGACAAGAAAGCTGGAAAATAAAAGAGAGATTGGAGATTCACCAATTGTAATGACGAAGGAGGATAGCAGAAGAGATAGTTGAAATGGACAAAACAGAAGAAACCCTTGAGATGTCTTCTTCTTGAAGCTTACATATATCCTCCTCGCTCAACACACTATAGTTTTGCTGTTTTGTCCAAAAAACAAAACAAAACAAACTATTAGTTACAAAATGATATGTAAGAAAAAAAACTCTTTTTTATTAAATCATAACCAAAATCGAACAAAATGGTCCAAAAAAGAAACGAGATCCAGAAAATGAGGAACAAAACCTGGCGGCGGAGGAAGACGAGATCATCGGAATCATCAACGTCGTCTTCGACGAACTCGTAATCGGCGTCCACGCTGTCATCGTAATCGGAGTCTTCGTGGCCGCTGTAGAAATCTTCATCACCGTCCATCTTCGCGATCGATTCCGATTCTCTCTAACACTCTATTTTTTCGATTTTTGTTAAATAAACTAAATAAAGAAACAAAATGGTCGGAAGACGTTTTCCAATGCAACAAAAAAAACGTATAGAAATAGCCAAAAAGGTAAGTTAAGAGTTAAATTCATTATTAATCATTAATAAATTGTTTAAGACTATATATAAGAAGAATTCATTCTAATTTTATCGAGTTAAAATCTGTATTCTTTTTATAACTTTTTCTTGGCCTTTTTTCTTCTCAATTTGTATGTGTAGGGGTTCATTTTGGTCATTTTAACACATATCTTATAATTTTAAAGTTCAATGAAATTTGCCAATATTCTAGTTAATGTAATTATTTCTAACTAAAGACTTTTTAGGAAAGTTCATAAAAAATCATTACATAAAATAACAATATACTAATACCGTCAGGTTAAAGGTAACAAAAGGAGTAAGCATTTCCTATATATTATTTCCAAAGTGATTTATCACATATATTTTCTACAATCATTTTTTTTCCTAAAAACTTTCTACAATCATTTAAAAAAATAATGATAGAGATACTAAAATTGATGACATGACTTATATTTAAATATGACATGGATAATTATATTTATTGCTGATATGGAATTTGGTAAATTTTATAAAATATGATATTAACTGATACATTAGTTGATTTATATTTTTGGTAAACTTTTTTAAATATGGTAATAACTCATAAATCAAACCATCACTAAAAATAAATATATTGAAATATGCATTATAAATTTCGAAATGTCATTTACTTTTTAATTTTATAATTATAAAAATTTTATTACTAATATTTTCAAAATTTTCTACATCTTTTTAAAAAATTAATAAATTTTAATCATAATATCATTAGTTTCTTTTAGATATCAACAAATTTTAAATATTGTTTAGTTATAATTTTTAATAACTATACAATTTTTACATGATTTTTTTTAGTAATTTTATACAAGTTGATTTAATACATTTAACCAAAATAAATAGATAAAAAATTCTAAGATTCAAATTCTAAAATATTGCATATATATTAGTCAATATAATTTAAAATAACAAAATTATTATTTTTTCTTAATTTTATGCTTAATTAAATCAAATTTTATTAAATATTAGTTAAAATAATAAAATATATAATATTAATATATTTAATTTCAAATATAATTTAACTTTGAAAAGTTTATCACATACACCTAATAAACAACATAAATGAAGAATTACTACAGTTTTGTTTTAATATCATTTGCAAATATCCAACAACTATGATTTTTCACCACCTGCCACACCTCTATTTCTATCAGTAGACTTTAATTGGTAAATTTTTGGAATGACAAAATAGTGTTTTAAGCGCAGTTATGCAAATAGTTTATCAATCAACAAAATTTGCGGAATAAAAAGAAAAATGGAAAAACGTAAGATTGTATTTTTTCTTACTAATGTTTTTTTTTTTCCTTAAGCCAAAGTAAAGAAAAGAAAAGAAACCAGAATCTGACTGGGCAATCAAATTTCCAAACTTATAGTAAGACCTTTTTGATCAAAATAAAGACCTTTTTGTTTATCAGCGTTTTTATTTTTATCATCTAAAAAGAAAGCCAAGGCCCAACCGGCCTCAGACTAAAGAAAACCCAAAACAGAAGAAAGAACAGCTCAGGACACAGGACACGTGCGCGTACACAAAGGTTGAAGGTAATCAACATAGAGGCTTGGATGTTTTGGACTACCGGTCAGTGACTCAGTGCTGATCTAACATTTACAAAAAAAAAATTTGATGTCTTACGTTCACTTAGCTTTGTGCTTTATTATTTATATACAAAAATCTTGTGCCCTATATATAACTAAAGTTATCGTTAAAATCATGATGTTTTTGTTGATTTCCTTTGCATATATGGTTCGTACTGGTCCTTCGACCGGTGAAAAGCTTTGATCATCTGCATAGAAAAAAAAGTGTTGACCATCAATGAGCCTAAGTATAAACTTGATAATACATAAACTCGTAGAAGTCGTTACATAAAATGCCGCAAATTAAATGTTGGAAAAAATCTTGTTATTACATAAACTCGTAGAAGACAAATTTTGACTCGAAAGCAGCTGATCACATGCATTATATGTAGCTAAGACCGACATGTCAAGCCTCTCCTATCAAATCCTTAAATTAATCATCAACCCTACCTCACACCCACCAAAGCGTGCCCATAACTATTCCCAAAACTATAAACACAACTCAAAAAGTAACAACAGCGACAAGTTTTGCTTTTAAAGAAAAAAAACGTTTCATGTGGTTTGACTAAACCGACGTCGACGTATCCCGAAACTGCTCCGTTATCAAATCTTAGGCTTTAAAACACACACACACACATTTATTATGGGATCCATATTACTAACCATGGATAATTTCATACTATAATTTACATGCAAATAACCATCTCTCACCATGTGTTAGTCTATATAATAGAGATTAAGCTTCAAACCCAAAAACACAAAACTCACTCAAAACACAATTAAATTAAAAAAGAGAGAGAGAAAAAAAATGGGTGCTTCGTACCAAGAATGTTCATCATTGCTTCTTCAAGATCTCAAAGTGAAGATCAAAGAATCATCACTCATTTTCCCATCTGAAGAAACCTTAACCCATGAGAGAAAATCTATGTTCTTGTCCAATGTCGACCAAGTTCTTAACTTTGATGTCCAAACGGTTCATTTCTTCCGACCAAACAAAGAATATCCTCCGGAGATTGTGTCGGAGATGATGAGAAAGGCGTTGGTGAGAGCAGTGGACGTGTACGAGTTTTTGGCCGGGAGACTTCGTTTGAACCCTAGCTCTGGACGGTTGGATGTTGACTGTAACGGTGCTGGAGCTGGGTTTGTTACGGCGGAGAGTGAGTTCACTTTGGAGGAACTTGGAGATTTGGTTTATCCAAATCCGGCTTTTGCTAAATTGGTTACAAGTCAGCTTGAATCTTTGCCTAAAGATGATCAACCCTTGTTTGCTTTTCAGGTAACCAAAGATTGCTTCCTAAACCTATACTTTTCCAACTTAATTACATTGTTTTTTTGTTTGTGGAGTATAATACATCACCCAATATAAAATATCACCAGTTTTGAGTATACATCATATAATATAAACGCAAATAAACTTTCTCAGTATCTTTAAAAAGACGGATCTAAGCAGAAAAGGGAGGTAGACAGAAGTTAAACTAGTAGTTACGAATAAATATGTGTACAAATATATCAAAGTTTCAGATTCTTAGTTTATCTGAACTATTCATTTAAATCTGTTCTGAAATACATTATTTTCCTTTTTTTTTATCGTCGTTATTTTTAAAACTGACTTTAAATTATTATTTAACAAAGTTGTTTTTTGAAAAAAAGTTTATTTTTAATAATGAGAGTGTTTTCTATTTTGAAGAAATTAGACTTTGATATGAAAACAAGATCGTTGAGTTTCTTGATGACTCAAACAAAACTCATAGACTAATCACATGCACTGTGTAGCTAAATCGGACATATCAAAAACCTCGCTTTTGAGATCTATTACTAAACCTACTCAGATGTTTAACAGACTATAAGTCAAGTAGTCAAGTAGGCAAGTAAGTAACATGCATGTGACATAAAATTTAATCATTCAAGTATAGCAGAACATGTAAACACGTAACCTGTCACGTATATATATATACTCAGACATGTTCCAGTTTCTCCTGCATACAAATAATATGCCAAATTTGAATTCCTTTAATGTACAAAAACTCTTACAGAGATATTTGCTTGATTTTATTTATATTTCTTAGTTATGTAGAAACTAGAAGATGTCTCAACAAGAAGTTATATAAACACTAAATATATGTTTTCAACCAACACAGCTAATCGAGATTTACACAATAAGATTTATAAAATTATCAAAATGTCTCAATAATAATTTATTTTGTTGTTAATATTAATAAAACTTTATAAAGTATATGATTGCAACATAAATCTACTTGTGCCGCGATAAAGTTAAAACGCTGGCTTTCTTGGTTGCTCATTTATTGAATCCACCAAACATAAAGCAAATCCAAATTAAAGTGACATCATTCTGTTTGACTTACGGCCAAGTAATGTAATCATTTTCTAAGGAAACTAGTTAATGAACGTTCGTGGTTGTAGAAACTAGTGTCTACATGTGATTGTACATATGTATACTACGTACTAACTATAGAGTTATCATGAGGGTTATTCTTGTCTGCTATGATCATATTCCGAGGATTTGTGACAGCTTTGCCATGCCCCAGGGGGACGTAACTACCACTACTATAAATTTCCAGTAAAATATTGCTAACTAGGGAAAGTGTTGTTTACAAGTGAAAAAATATTTCTTAAATTTGGTCCATATAATTGAATTATGGAGATCAATCTTTTTTAGAAAAATTAAAATTTTGGCAGGTAACATCATTCAAGTGCGGTGGATTTGCAATGGGAATCTCAACAAACCATACAACGTTCGATGGACTTAGTTTCAAAACATTTCTCGACAACTTAGCCTCTTTACTAAGTGAGAAGCCCTTATCAACACCTCCATGCAACGACCGTTCTCTTCTCAAAGCTCGTACTCCACCACGTGTCACATTCCCACACCACGAGCTTGTCCAGCTCCAAGACTCGGAGACAACAACAGTCTTTGAAGCCACTTCAGAGAACTTAGACTTCAACATCTTCAAGCTATCCTCTCAACAAATCTCGAGGCTCAAGGAGAAGGCCTCGGAGAGTATTGGTAGTGGTTGTGTTCGTGCGACGGGTTTTAACGTTGTAACCGCTTTGGTTTGGAGGTGTAAAGCACTCTCTTCAGTAAAAGAAGAGGTGGATGATCTTGAAAAAGAATCAACCATTCTTTACGCGGTGGACATCAGAGGGAGGCTGGATCCCCAGCTTCCCTCTGCGTACACTGGAAACGCGGTTCTAACCGCGTACGCCAAGGCGAAACGAAAGATACTGCTTGAAGAACCGTTTGGGAGGATTGTGGAAATGGTAGGAGAAGGGGCGAATCGGATAACGGATGAGTATGCAAGATCCGCTATAGATTGGGGAGAAATGTACAAAGGGTTTCCACATGGGGAAGTTTTGGTTTCATCGTGGTGGAAACTAGGATTTGCGGAGGTTGAATATCCATGGGGAAAGCCTAAGTATTGCTGTCCCGTTGTGTACCATCGGAAAGACATAGTTTTGCTGTTTCCAGACATTGATGGAGATAGTAAAGGTGTATATGTCTTGGCTGCTTTGCCTTCTAAGGAGATGACCAAGTTTCAGAAATGGTTTGAAGACACCCTTTGCTGATTTCTCCTTCGCTTCACTTTGCATTGGTATTTTCTTGGTTCGACTTGGGTACTTTTTATAAAATAAAAGACAAAGGTGAACGACCTGGTTTAAGATTTGGCTTTTCCGTTCAGTTTATAAAACCACATAATGCATGTTGAATTCAGTTTTTTATACATATAATAAAGTTTTAAGTTTTAATAAAAAGTATTAATAAGACTAGATTTGTATAAGATATATGATTTTATCCTTTTAGTTCAAACTCTGTAATATATATATTTATATATTTTTTTTAATGAATTTCAGTACTTACGTTTGTTACATTAAGCTCGATTTTGTTGGCTTTCTTAAAAAAAATATCCAGTAAGATTATAAACTTTTCAGTAATTCATCCCATTCAAGCCCACCTAGATACGGTATTTGATAATAGATATGAAAAGAATACTTTATACCTTCTTATGTATTTTTCTGTTATTTAGGATCAATTAAAAAGTTGTATTGTAAGCACAAAATATGTTGTAAATGAAAATGAATACAAAATATTTTATAGTTCTTAAAGCGTGCATATACTTTTTACCTGAACAAAAACATCTCAATATATATATTTTGAATCTTTGGTTAAATCTCTTTTTCTTTAACCATTCATTCAATTATAATCTGGATTCCTTTATACTTTCTGAAATCAATAATTCATGTTTTGTTACAACAATTTCTTTCGCAATATGACATCAAAGCTAGCCGAAAGCTTCCGCATTGATTCTCATTCAATTTTCTTTCGATTTCTCTTGAAATTGAGCTTTGTTTCGACAAAAACCACCATGAATATTTCGATTAATCAACTCTCCATCAATTTTATTCAATTGATCTTCGTTTTATTTGAGTTTCTTACTCGTTTCTTTATTTTCTTGTTCCCAGTCTTCACTTGTTTTGACCTACATTTTTGTTGTTTCTCGTTGATTGTTTAATCTAACACGACTCCAAATAAAGGTTAGAAACCAACAAAAACACCAATTATCACTTGTAAACTATGTACGGTTCCAATGGATTTCACTGTCAAACTGAGCAAGGAAAAATACACCCCACTTCAAAATGCTACTTCTTATAGAGAGGTTATTATAAATTTATTTACGTTAGGATCACCAAACCGGATAATCAGGATATCACTTTTGCAGTTAACAGTCTGAATCAAATTCTATTATGCCAACATATATTCATCTTGTGCTGCTCATCGTGTTACTTTTAGTCTACTACACGCCAATGACTATTCTATGTTGTGAATTCAGAGTTAAATGTCTCAATGCTTTTACGGATGCAGATTGAACAATATGTCCATATTCTAGTCGCTTAATCTTGTTTTTGGGTATGTTTGGAAACTCTCCTATCATAGTCTGTTAGTCAAGATAGAACCAACCCATAGTATGGTAGCATCATCCTGCTACATGCGAGATCCTGTGGTTGGACTCTCTTCTAGACCTTCCGAGCTGGAGAGAGGAACTGAACATACAAAACTGCGAACCAAGAGATGTGAAACACGAGGGAAGTGGTGAGCTAATCACATCAAAACTATCTTTATTATCTTCAATTTTTTTCATTTAATGCGAAAACGTAACCATATATGTCTATAAAAATATACAACAAATCATCAGTAGAAAGAAATTTGGGAGATGACAGACTTTTACTTTCTTTGTCGCTAAAAAATATTCTTGTTAATAGTCCAACTAAAAATAAATATACCGTTTAAAATGTATGATGTATTTTGTTATTGTCTTATAAAAATGAAGAAACTCCCATCAGTTTCACATAACTAATCTTCTAAAATGATAAAAACATTATAAGAAAATCTTAAATTATCTATTATATATATATATATATATATATATATATATATATATGTATTCTATCAAATGTTTCGGTAAGTTTTTGTTTTCAACGATAAACGTTTTGGAAAATTTCTTCAATACGTGATCAAATAGAGGTGTCTTAAAATAATTTAAACTAAATTCATAAATCTATTATATAAAAAAAAGCATCCTTCCTTCTAAGGGGTGCCACCTCAGCGCCAGCGTGGAAAGGCCAGGTCAGCAACCATTTTGGGCCAAAATCGTTTGGGCTTCAGTTGTTTACATTTGGGCTTCACGTTAATGTTGGGCTTTATTTCTTGACTCTTTTCTGTTGACCTAAACGTTGTGTTCTCCCATAGCGACTCCAGGCTCTTCGTGTTCTGAGAAGCACGGCGTATGAGGATCAATGAACACGGAATCTTCTGAGATAACTTGTACCCAAAATCGAATCTCCAATGAGAAGAAGCCGTCTTCCATACGAGAAGAAAATATCATTCTCCACAATAACTAAAATTGATCAGATTCTCCAACCCATCGCGAGATCAATATAGGATAATGTTTAAGCATAAGCTTCACGAAGCATTCAAAGGCACGGTGGAGAGGGTCACAGGTCCTCGCACGGTCACGGCGTTCAAGGAGAAAGGAGTACTCAGCGTCAGCGAGTTCGTGCTCGCTGGACATAATCTTGTCTCTAAGTGCCCTACTTGGTCATGGTTAGTTTATAAAGTTTGAGTCTTTATTGATTAATTGTTAAAACACACAAAGTTGAAATTTTTTATTTTAAGGTTTGTGAATTTTGCAATTATACGATATGGGTTTGCTGTAGACTTGATCAGTGGCGGAGCCACACTGTGTAAGGGTGGGGCATATGCCCCCTATGCTTTTTCAAAATTTCAAGTAAAACCTTGAACAATTTTAGTTATGCCCCCTTTGATTTTAGTAAAATTATCCTTAATTCTTTGAACAATATCAACTTGCCCCCTATGAAACTCTTCTCTGCATCCGCCACTGGACTTGATCGTTGAGGAATATGGGTAAATGGGTCTCTCTGGTTTGTGGATAAAGCTTTTGGCTTTTAGTATTTTGTATACAAGTTTTTACTGATGACTGATGAATTTGAAATACAAAGTCTAGATTTTAATTTTTGGGGTTTGTGAATTTTGCAATTATACTATATGGGTTTGCTGTAGACTTGATCTTTGAGGTGTGTGGGTGAATGGGTATCTTTGGTTTGGGGATAAAGCTGTTGACTTTTAGTGTTTTTTACTGAAGAATGTGAAATACAAGTAATAAAATTTCAAGTGGTAACAAAAAGATGATGTCTGAGTTCCCCAAAAGGTAACACAAATAGCCTCATTTTTTTCCACAATTTCTTTTCTCTGATTTTTTAATGTACTTTCCATTGGTTTTAACTGAAATCTATGAAGAAGAAATTACCAAAAATTGGAATATCATTCTTAGATGCTGGGTGAATCCTGTCATGATGGTCATCATTTTAGCTTTATGTACTCTAGGTTAGCTAATTAACTGCTTAGGAACTACAAATCCTCAAACAAGAGAAGACTTATGTAATCAGTAAATTTTAGGTTGTTCACAGTGGGGTTGATATATTTAAGAGTGTGATTGCCCATCTGAAAGAATATTAATGTAAACCAGGAGCAGCAGAGGGAGGAAGTACTGCACTGCACACGCATCATGCTTCCTCGCCAAGGTAATATCTTCTACATAGTCTCTTGCCATCTCTTCGCTCTCTCCCCTTCTCTGAAAAACCATTGTGTCTTTGTAAATCTGTGTCGCAGTGAGAGAGAAAGAGAGGAGATAGTTCCTGCTCTGAATGGTGATATTGCAGAAGAAAACACTGGTGTTGAGCGGAAAGCAGGCAATGGAGGAGGAGGTTATACAGTGCACATAACTCTGTCAAGAGCGCGAGCATGGTCTGTTCTACATTCATTGGTGTCCAATCCTAAATCTGCAAGAGGTAGTTAGTAATTGATTATCAAAGATAGAGATAAAAAGTGGATCATGTACGGAGTATGTAGCTTACTACTTATTGTTGTTGTTATGTAAGTTGGGAAGAAGATAATGAAACAATTATGGAACTTATTGATTGAGTTTATGAAACACTCGCAATCTAATACACAGTTTACGTTTTCACGTGAATTTTAATATCCATATTACTAGAAAGAAAACATAAAAGTAGACACTTTCAAAGTGTCAGAAAAAGACACACAAAACTCATCGTACCATATTATAAAGCAATGATTTGAATTATAAGATGAGAATAGCAAATATTGTGATCTCTTTATAGCTGGACGGCTAAGAAGGATTAGCAGAGCTTAAAACGCATAGGTATGTTTCTATAAAAAAGCACTCATATAAATTTTGGTTATTTACAATAATTGTTAAGAGTTAACAGATTTAGTGCGAACAAACACAAATCAATTTTTTTTTTGAATGAAACACAAATAAATTTAACCATTTAATATCATTGATTTTTAATATGTGAAATGAATTCTCTTGCAGCAACTGCCAGTTCGGAAATTCCTAGCTACCATTTACAGAAAAAAAAACTTCGACACGCACTCTCGCCACTGTACACCAACTACTCTTTCCATTCGCTGCTAAAACCTATCTTTGTCCGTAATTCTTACATGTAAGGGCAACAAATTTCTAAAAATTCAGTTTACTTATTCACTGCAAGGCTCCAAGGCTCGCTTTATCAGTAACAAATCCTAAAATTCACACAACAAACATATTATTGATAAAAGAAACACAAAATATATTAATTTATTGACTACTACTATATACCACTTGGACAACACCTACAAATTTTTTACCAAAAAAAAACACCTACAAAATCTGCTTTGTTTATGGGAGATGTCCAAAAATAAACACCTACAAAATCTGCTTTGTTTATGGGAGATGTTTTTTAATTCACTTTCTCTTGCAAAACCTAACATAAACCGCAGACAATTAATATATAATAATATAGGCATATATCTCATACATAAATTACAGTTTTTTTTTTTCATATTTCTTACATTATTAATAAATTTCTTGGAATCTCATATAACACCAACACTAAAAATCCAGTCTTCATAGTTATATACTTAAAATTCATGTAGATAACACTATTGTATTGAAATCCAACTTAACAAAATCTTATAAATTTGTTACATATTTTATAAAAAAATAAAAATATTCATATCATTCACCGCGTCATTCAATTCCGCGCGTAGCGCGGACCGGTCCTAGTACCAAATAAATTAATGTACATGTTATAAAGAATCTTGCATATATGTGCAAGATACTAATATAACATATACAAGATTTTGTTGCCACTATTTAAAAGAAAATGTTTTGTTTTCTATTTGCACTATTATGCCTTTTCTTCGACTATTTGTGGCATGACATGCTAACAAGGAAATGTGATTTTATATTTTAATATGGTAGAAACCTTACAGTTGACTCTTTAAGTTTTTATGTAAAGTCTTTTGTAATAGGAATCAAAAATAGGAACCAATATAGAAAAACAAAGAAATAGAAAAGGTAAGGATGATTCAATTTGTTGGGCATTATTCTTAAGTGTGAGCTTTTATATTCTTTCCCACGAGGTTGCCCCTCATGCACCCATCGTCATATTTTCAACTGAGATGCCACATCATTCATTCTGGTTTTCTATTGGATATGCCATTTGTATGATATTTAATAGAGAATTTGAATGGAATTCTTTTTCTCAAAAAACAAATTTGAATGGAGTTTTAATAGATAATCAGAATACTGCTTATGTCATTCATGACAGCATTTGTAACTGGTGCTGGTGAGTGGTGGACCTTTCTAAACTCATGAGATAGATTTTGTTTTTTTTTTTTCTTCTCCTTAACAATTTTTCTATTGTTGAAATAAATCACAAACTTAACATCAACAAATTTTAAAACTTGGATTTTTAACATAAAAACCCCTCAACTAAGTTTATTTTGGGTAAAAACCCCTAAACTAAGTATTTAATGAAAAAAACCTCAAACTAACTTTATTTAGTGAATTAAACCCTCGCCGGTCAAAATTACCAGTACTACCGGTAAATATTTAGTTTAGGGGTTTTATCATTAAACATAAAAATTCAAAAAAAAAAAAAAATCAAATAATAACATTATCTAAAAATTCGTAATTTTAATTTTCAAAACTAGCATTTTAAAAATTTCTGTAAATATATGAATGATTTCTTATCCTTATAAAATGGATTTTTAACTCTAAAATACCTTAAATAGGTTTGTTTTGGGTAGAAAACCCCAAACTAACAAGTAAACCCCCATATTAAACATAGTTGAAGGGTTTTTATCATTAAAAATCTAAAAAAAAAAATGATAACATTATCTAAAAATTAGTAACTTAAATTTTTAAAATTAGCATTTTGCAAAATTTCTGTAAATATATGAGTTTGATTTGTTTTAACATCAATATTATATATATAGATTAAAATTTTAAAACACCAAAATATAGTAAAAAGCACCTAAAGATTTATTATTACATTTTTATTAAATAAGATATAATTTTTATTCTTTTTTCTTGTTTTTTAGATTTTTAAATTTTGATAATTTTTATTACAGGTAAATCATTAGATAATTTTTCTTATATTTTCTTGGTTTTTACATTTTAAATTTATACATATATAACTTTGATTTTAAAAGGATAACAAATCAGACTCATATAGTTACAAATTGTTTTTTAAAATGCTAGTTTTTAAAATTAAAATTACAAATTTTTAGATAATGTTATTATATTTTGAATTTTATTGATTTTTATGTTTAATGATAAAACCCCTAAACTGAAGATTTACCGGTAGTACTGGTAATTATGACCGGCGAGGGTTTTATTCACTAAATAAAGTTATTTTGGGGGTTTTTTCATTAAATAGGAGTTTTTACCCAAAACAAACTTAGTTAAGGGGTTTTTATGTTAAAAATCCTTAAAACTTATATACAAAGAGTTATTCAAATTCACATGCCTAAATTTCAACGGTAGGGCAAAAGGTAATATTAGTTTTGCTATGATTTTTGTCCACCCCTCATTGTTAAATTAAATTCTATAAATTTTTATTGTGTCAACATTCACGTGACCAATCAATTTATGTTAATAGTTTTAAGTTTAAAACTCATAAAGCTTAGAATAACACTAAAAACTAAATTTAGTTAAAATAATAGGATATTAAACTGGATTGTTGTTGATCCTTGAGTGAAATCAAGATTAATATGTTTGAGAAAATAATGTAGACAACGTGTTAAGATGAATTACCTTACATTGAAATGTAATGAGATGATAATAATAAGATAAATACTTTCAAATAGCATTAAAGCATTTTTCAGAAATAGCACAAAAGAAAGAGAAATCTCAAAATAACATTCAGTAAATGACCAAAACATAAATACATTCCTATTAAACTATGTAAATAACTAAATATATTAAAAACTTTAAAATGGCTTTTAAAATATGAATTATATGCTAATTTTATATATGGGTTTATAATATAGTGATTAATGCTTATGGTTTAGAATTAGGAGGTGAAATTAGGATTAGTGTTTGTGATGTAAGGTAATTTATTATTTTTATTGATTAATAAATGCTATTTGGGAGATTTCCTTACTTATTTTATGATACAATCTAAAAAATACTATTGATGGCGTTTTCCTAATAATAATAAACTAGATGATAACCCGCGCGCATGCGCGGGGTGAAATTTTCATACTAATATTTATTCATTAAATAGTTTTTAACATTTTGCAATATTACAGTATTTATCGATTATAAAATGGTGAATACAAATGTTGGTATCTTAAATCATCATAGATCTGGACGTTTAAGATTTCGTCGGTTTTAGTTTGATTGACACGTATTTTCAGATTTTGGTATTATTCTCATAAATCCTATTTGAATTTTACTAATTATCGGATTGGATTTGATCTTCTCAATTAAGTTTGGCTTGGATTGTAACCAATATCTGAAATCACCCTAAAAATATTTGTTAAACATTAAACGTTGACAAAAAATTCAAAATATTTAAACTATTAATAAATCTAATTAAAAATTAGATAAATTATCTAAACAAATTAAAAGATATTAAAAAGAGAACCAAATAAAACAAACTACAAAAATCTTTCGTATACCATAATTTGTATCTACTAACCTCAAACCTTTTCACTAAAATTTTTAAATTAACATATTTATAGTATGAATATCTACTAATGATATTTCATATTCGTACGATTTATGATAATTTGTATTTTGTTTGGAAAAAAACAAAGTTAAACCATTTATCATAAAATTTTCTTTTTTTTTTTTTTTTTTTTTTTTTTTTTTTTTTTTTTTTTTTTTTTTTTTTTTTTTTTTTTATCATAAAATTTTCAATGTGGGATTTTACTATTTTTAGTTATTTATGGTCGTTTAAAAAAATATAACCTATAAGAAAAATTAAATTTTTTTAATTATATATTTAAATGTGATTGTTTAATTTATTTTAATAATTTAAAATTAAAAAAAAGAGAGATACAAAAATATGTATTATTCATAATCACTAATTACATATATATGTTAATCATATTAGGTAATTCCGTAGTTTTTATTTAAGGAAATAAAATATATTGTTTTATACCTAGCAGAGTTGGTCCCTTAAAAGATGTCTATATATTATAGTCCTAAATGCAAGAAATTAAATGTTACATTATTTCATTCCTAGCAGAATTGGTCCATTAAAAAATTAAAGGTGAGAAGCTGTGTGAGCTTGACACGTAAGCATGCTCTCCAAGGTTGTGCATTTATGAATGCTTCAAGATTAATATATAAAGGATTATATTCTTTATGATTACCCTTTCATTATTTTATCTCTTATTTTCTCATTAAAATTGCATTCCTACTTACACTTTAAATCATTTATCAACATTAGTTAGATTTCTATGAGCACAAAAGTTACGTTTTGTTACAGCCAATTATTTTTTATTCCATTTCTATAATCACCGAATCAAGATGAGGACAACTCACAACAAAAATAATCGGAATCTGTTCGTTTGGATTTATGTTTAATTTTTATTTTTCAATAAGGTCCATAATAAGAGAAGATGAGTTGGAGGTTTATCAAGAATAATAAGATCTTTCACATTATTGAAAAAGAAAAAGAGGGGATGAAATAAGATAGATACGTTGGTGATAAAGAAGTGACACATCTTGGCCAACATTAGAAGACGATTCCATACAAGATTGGATGAATAGCAAGTACAGAGACGTCTCTACTTGGTTGCGTTCTTTCTAATTTTAGATTCGTTATTTGTACACTACTTCATAATTCCTATTTTACTTTTATTTCTCCTCCACCCGAGATACTAAATGGTACAAATTCACAACAACAACAACAACAAAGAAAATGGATGTTGATATATTCCACATGGGAAAAAATGAGAAAAATAAAAAGTTGAGGGCCGTATTTTTTTGGACTACTTATAGCCACCAACACCAACTTAGGTTACGAGACACACACACACACGCCAACTTATTCAGTTGCTGGTGATTTTCTGGTGTCATTTTTTATTAAAAGAATGCTGGGGTTCACTTCCTTTCATTTCATATTTCTTCTACATTTGACCATTCGGAACAACTATTAATAATACACTATTATCGAATGTTCAGCTTGTTTAATCAGTTAACTTGTTATTTTGAGTGTGTTATTTTAAGGGGTCTAGATGATTTTATTGATAATTGAGTAATACCAGAAATCATAGTATTCTGTTAAAACAGTACTGTTTGATTAATATATAATATAAGTTTTTACATCACACAGTTATTTCACTACTGAAACGTGAAGTATTATAAATAATTAGACCAAATAATTAGACCGAAACAAGACAATCAATAAAACCAATCTGCATTTTCACTAAAAATCTGCAGCTGGAATTACTCCCCCCCCCCCTAAAAAATGTGGATGATAGATAAATTCTTGAAAGAGTGAATTGGTTTAAAACCCAAAAAAATGATAAAATTAGCAAACTACTTATGACGGAACAAGTTTGGTGTCTATCAAAAAAAGCCTCATGGTGTGGATATGGGATTTAGGGTATTGATTAGTGAAAAAGTTGTGTACACATGATGCAATTTCACTTCTTGAAATCCCTTCATCGTCTCGATATTTATATATATATTATCTGTAACTGATTATATATTCAGTGATTATATATTTATAAGGTGCGCTATGTTATCATATTTATATGTAGTGTATATAGTTAAACAACTTGTACATACTTAATAATTTTAACATTTGTTAAAATAATAACTAAAGTCTTTAATGGTATATACTCTTCTTAAAAGTATGAAATTAACATTTTAATATAAACATATTTCTCTATTATTCAACACAATCTTTTAAAAACATAAATTTATCAAAAATACTTTAAAGTTATTGTCATACATAAAGCTTAACATGAAATCATAAAGGAAATAAGGATTTAGAGAACATCCACCACTTCTAAATACTTTCTTACAACGACAACTATTATGTAAACAATTTTACATGCGACAATTGTATCACACGGTGATAATACATATCTGACTGCGTTATTACAAGCCGCTCTGTGAGATCCAAGTTCGATGATACACTATATACCATATTGAAAATCATTTGTAATTATTTTTTCATAATCTACATTTTCTAGCCAAAATAAAATATTTACTACTAGTACTTACATCAGACTCAAACCAGAGACACGGCGAAGCGATGTTGCATAACTGCCTACCATGAATTTTGTTAATCAATTACAACAAGCTGCATATAGTTTGATTACTCTGATTAACTGATTTGCGTTAGATATAGTTAAGCCTTTGACGAACAAAACTGAGTTAATCAGAGTAATCAAACTATATATCAGCTTGTTGTAATTGATTGTCTTCATATATTAACAAAATTCATGGTGGGCAGTTATGCAATATAGCTTTGCCTCTGCCATGTCTCTGGTTTGAATCTGATGTTAACTACTTTTAGTAAATATGAGACTTGTTGAGGTAAGAAAATTCAACAAAAATAAAGCAGGAAAACTCGTTGTTAACTAAAATATATTTACTCAAAAAAAAAAAAAAAACTAAAAGTATACATTTATCGGATAAACCAGAAGACGTAAAATCAAAAGGTTTGGAAAATAAAAGACAAGTGGGGGACAATCCATCTTTCTTCCTGAAGCGAACAATTAATCTTGTCTGCAATCAAACCTTCTGTAACACAAGAAATTCTTTTGGTTCTTATGTAAATTAGTTCAATTTTTTCTAAAGGTATTGACTTCTGTATCATTTCAGTTTATATAATGCTAAAGTTGCACACAAACAGAATAATATCATCGAGATATTTATGTTACAGATTAAAAACAGTTATATGCTACATGCCATGGTTCAATTCTTTTATAAATTAAAAATATAAGCTCAATATAATGATTTTGGGAATATTAAATTTGGAAATATAGTGTACCAAGAACCTGCTATTTCAATACCAGGAACGAATAAGATCAATATACACGCGTCATCAAATAAACTCAATTGTTAGGTTATGGTTATGAATTCATCTTTGAGGAGATCAATATATGCTCTAATTAGTGGCAACGGACCAATGGTATATATATCTATTTATTAAAACCAAAATCTCCCAAATTAGCAAGTTTGTTCATAGACGCATGCATCACCTGGTGAGAACAAATGGATGGTCGATATTTCACGAGTTATGAATATCAATGGTGGATTGACATATGAATAATAATTTCATTTAAAAGTATTCTTGGTTTATTGGTTTCATTGGTAGATTGACATATGATATATGTATTCTTTCTATCTCAAGTCACCTCACAGATAAAATATGCCGCATGTGTGTCTGCTATTGGAACTTGGAATTAAGAATTAAGAACCACTAAATAAAACTTGGAATTAAGAACGTTAATCACATTTTGCAACTTGCTTTTCTCGCTATAAGTCACTATATATATGTAACGATAAGTCCATGATATTGGTTATAAACAAACAATTACACCTAAGCTCTTTTTAATCGGAAGCTCGTATATTATATTCAAACTACATAGTTTTATTGGGTGTATTGCACTGAATTTATTTGCACTGATTTACGAAAAATAACATACGTGTATAAGTATTTAGCAAGTATATGGTCGAGTTTTACCAAAAAAAGTATATGGTCGAGTGAAGTCTTTTTCTTTTGGGTTACAAGTCGGAGAGGTAGTTAGTTGAAGGAAATGAATCAAATATTATTGGCTACCAAGTGGGTGAGATAATAATTTGGAATATTATCAGTCGAGCTATTAGAGTGGTGGCTTCGGACGAATACCACAAAAAAAAAAGAAAAAAAAAAGAGAGAAATATGAAATAAGAAGACAATATGTGATGTACATAGAATCAATTTTATATTCTCGTACATCATTAGACAAGACAAATATTGTGGTGATGAGTTCACCGACCCGAGCTAATTCAACTCCCAAGACACTATATATATCACGTACAAGTAGAGGGTTAGTTCATAAGATACGAAGAATAAAAAACAATTAAAACAGAAACCACCTGTTTGTGTTAGATCAAAAATGTCTTTAAGTAACAGAGATCCTCTTGTGGTAGGGAGAGTTGTAGGAGACGTTCTTGAATGTTTCACCAGATCAATCGATCTAAGGGTTACTTATGGCCAAAGAGAGGTGACAAATGGGTTGGATCTAAGGCCTTCTCAAGTCGCCAACAAGCCAAGAGTTGAGATTGGGGGAGAAGACCTAAGGAACTTCTACACTTTGGTTCTTACATTTAAACTCTATTTTGTCTCATCTCTTCTTCATTTCTTCATTATTCTTCTTCTTTCTACCAATATACCTAGGCCATGTAGACCCACAAGGAGGCCTTTAGATAAATATTTCCCTTGTTCTATTTTCTTACGATTTATTGGTTCAACTTCTAGATACCCATGTTAAGAAGTATTTCTTTTTCACTTTTTCCATGAAGATGATCCCATGAATCATTTCAGAAAATACCAAACTAAATGTACACAATTTTATATTCTTTCACAATTCTTTTCTTCCTTTGTCTCTTATTTAAATCCCAGATGTTTTCCTAAGAAACTTTTTGCATACTTATTCTCTTATTTTAGGTAAGAATCTTGATTTTTTCTTTGTTCCTCCAAAAAATTAGATTGTATCTTTGTTTTTAATTTTTAATTCTTCGATGCTTTTAAAAAGGCAAAAAATATCTTGGTTCGAATATACAAAATAATAATAATAATAATAATAATAATAATAATAATAATAATAATAATAATAATAAAGAAACTGAATGGTCATTTACATAAATAAATAATGTTGTTTTTTATCTCTATTGTATGACTGTTGAATAGGTATATTCAAGTAAGTCTCTTAGACACTCTGCTATACATAGACATGTAGCTAGGACCTACCTTTTTCTATTCATCGTTCTTTCTTTTGTGTTATCTCACTTCTCAAACTTCAAAAGATAACTTCTGCTTTCTTGATAAGTTTGAGAATGATAATCTGATATTTTCATTCTTCTTCGTATTATTTGTAACGAAATTAGTGTTCATGGGTTTAATGTAGGTTATGGTGGATCCAGATGTTCCAAGTCCTAGCAATCCTCACCTCCGAGAATATCTTCACTGGTTTGTGCACTAATTCACCTCTTTTATCCAATTTTAGTTTATCCTCAAACATGTTTGCTTAATTAAATATAAACATATATACACTCAATCACACATGCAACATGCTATGTATATCAACTGGAGACTTTAAAATTTGTAATCACTGATAACAAAAGTCAAACGTCTTCCATTTAGTAGAGCAGGACATGTATATAACCAGCTTTAAGAAAGCGGTTTATCACTTTGTCTCCTAACAAAGCCCATACACCAAGGATAAACTCAAGAGATTTCAAAAGCTTTAGACATGCATATAAGATATGTATAAATTATTTTTTAACAGACCTACGTACACAATGATTCTATTGAAGTATGGGACGTATAACTTATACTAATATTTGGTTTTCCACTTTAAAGTTGTTTGTACGAACATTCTTAGTCTGATGACATATCTTTGTGACTCGAAGTGTGTAGGACAAGGTTTTCTGTAATATCACAGCTACTACACAACACATCTTCTTTCTTAGTCTCAATTTATATAAAATTATAAAAATAGAAATAGAAATAGAAATATATATATATATATTATATATATATATATTCCTTTAATAAATAGTCTCACTTTTATATATGTATGCACAATATAAAACTTTCAAAGAATTTGAATGTTGATACATGTTTTGGAATCACTTACACCGACAATCTATTGGTTTAAAATTAAAATAAAACCAAGGATCTCATTAGCACCAAGTAGTCTATTGATTACGTTGTTATCATTTATAAAATAAAATCTTATGTTTAAGTGCAATATCCTAAAAAAAAACATGTGGACAAATCTTATTACAGGTTGGTGACCGATATCCCAGCGACAACTGGAACAAACTTTGGTGAGTTTTATTCTATAGATTGATGGCTAGACAGTCGATATATAGGAACGAATTCACATGTGTTTGCTGTTATGTTTGCATGCAGGCAATGAGATTGTGACTTACGAGAGTCCAAGGCCCAACTCGGGTATTCATCGTATCGTGCTGGTATTGTTCCGACAGCTCGGTCGGCAAACCGTGTATGAACCAGGGTGGCGCCAACAGTTCAACACTCGTGAGTTTGCTTCCCTATACAATCTCGGCCTTCCCGTGGCTGCGGTTTTCTACAACTGCCAGAGGGAGAGTGGCTGCGGAGGACGAAGAAGTTAGATGAGCTTCTTCTTTTAATCACTACTTGATAATGCACACTCATAATGAGATTTATGCATCTATAGTCTTATAAGAAGCCTTTAACGATACGAGCAATGAACGGCGATAATCAATATAGTAGTTTTATATATGTACTAAATAAATCCGAGGGGGAGTGTTTTTATTTGTATGGTGTGTGAGTGTGATGCAATACTCTATTTTATATCATTCTACATGAAATAAAAGTGTTATATATGGCATGTTACGTATGTTTTATTCATTCTGATGCAACAGTATCTTAACATTCGGAAAAGGACTATGAATACAGTAGTGGCATTGGAATCTGCTTTTGTTCTACTTTTGAGTTCATCATGATGATCACATAATACACTTTTTAGCTAGCCAATCATCATATTTGTAACAATAAACTTATTGGTAAATATTTGTTTGGTTTCTAAGTCATGGCTCAAAAGATTAGTATGGACTCAATCCGAATACATGCTACAGTGAAATCTCTATAAATTAATAATGTTGGGATTACACCAAAATTTTATTTTTTTATTAATTTAGAGAGATATTAATTTATCGATATACTAATCGAACCAAAAAACTCAATTTGGGACTATAAAATTATATTATTTCACAGAACTATTTAGTGTATATTATATTATCAAGTATTAATTTATAGAGGTTCTACTGTATTTACAAAAATGTTATATTTAAATAAAGATAACGAAGGTTGAAAAATAAATATTCAATCTAAAATTATAGTAAAAACATATCAACATGTTTTATCTCAAATTAATTTATTTGAAATAAAATTATAAATATAAAAATGAAAATATATTTTTTTTTTACTAATAATAAATTATAGTCATTACAAAATAAATTCATTCCATATAAGGAAGTACATATTAAAGAACATATTCTAAAAACTAATCAGTAGCATTTATTGGAAATTGTATGCTTTACTTAATCTTCAAATAAAGATTCGATAATTTTATTTTCAGTAGTAAAGATTAATATGAGGTTCTTATGATTTGTTACCAACTCAAGCTACTTCTTCTCACGTTAAATCTACTGTTTTTACAGCGTTTAAATGAAGAATTTAAGAAAAATATATAAGTAAATAAAACATCAACATACAAAATAAAAATCAATTCGTGTTTACGTATTTAACTCAATGATTCCAGTACTTTAAAAAAAAATCTACATACTATTATAATTAAAGTAAAACATATTGAACAAATATTTAAAACGATTATGTTTCATAAAAAGTTTAATGGTAATATATACTTATGATATTTAAAAAAAAAACTACGTTACAAGAGTACATTTACATCTGTAAATACTCATCAAAACTTGAAATACTTATATAGAATTTCTTTTTTTTACCTCGTAGGAGTTAGGACGGTTAACCTCTACTATTTTAAATATGACTAAACATCAAATGTCTTGTAACTGTTTATTCTTTTTTTTAACAACAGTGTAACTGTTTATTCTTTAATTGATAAAATATCAGCCTCACAAGAATCATATGCTCGTAAACAACTAAACATCCGTGCTAATCCAAACCAGAAATAGTAACATAAGATTAGTTTGCATCCCAAAAAGCTGGAAGTGACTTGGTTTAAAAAGCAAAGTAATTTACAGGTAAAAAGCAATAGAAGAAGTTCAACAAAAAGAAAGGAGAGGGTGGCATGAATTTTAGAAAAAGAAACAGGATAAAAGAATATTGTCTGGTGCCCAAAAAAAAAAGAATTTTGTCATAGAGAAAGATTGATTGTAGTTCGATTGGTCAGGAGTTCCACCTCTTGCGTCTTGACCATTCGCATGTGCTAGTATTATACTCACTATGTCAGAAAAAAATCCATCGGTCCATTTTCGTAAGATTTTCACCACCATACGGTCAGTCTTGTCAAACCAGTCAATACACTCCTCGTGTATGTTATGTCCACAGAGGTATTTACAGGTTTGAATAGTTGCGAATGTAATGCCTTGACTAATTTTGTTTGTGGATCCATAAAGTTTTAGGCTACGCCGATTCAAAAAAATATGTAGATCAAATTAATGCATATATGTGTTATCCCCTAATTCTCCAGATATAATTTGAGAAATGATTTGACACATCTCATTGTTACAATAATTTTCATTAAAAAAAATGACATGATACACTAGAATTGATGCATGTCTTACGTCTAAATGTGATATGACAATTATAATTAATATTTATTTTTATTTTTTATAAATTTTCCAAATATGAAAATAACTCATAATCATCATTAAAATAAATATAATTAAAAAGGAATTATATAATATAATAAGCATAAAATATTTTATAAATTTCGAAACATAATTTAGTGTATTTTTATAATGCTACAAATTTTATCACTAAACAAGATTTGCAAAATTTTATATTTTTTTTTAATTTTTAATCATAACATAATATGTTTCTTTTTATATTTATAAATTTTAAATTTTAGAATTTCTATTTAATTTTATTTTGTGATAATTATTATATTTTTCATATCATTTTTAAACAAAAATTAGACAAATTTATTTAATATTTCTTAACCAAAAAAATAAATGAAAATTTATCTAAAATTATAATTATATATATAATTGAAACTAAGTCAAATTCTATTTTCTCTTAATTTTACTTTTAACTAGACTAAAATTTATATGAAAATATTGGCATGGAAATAATAAAATGAATATTAACACAAAAGTTTTTTTAAAATTTTTTTTGCTGCACCATGTGCAGGAAACACCTAGTATTAACTATGTAAGAACAGAAAATAAATAAATCTGATATTTTTTATCTTGTAAAAATATGAAATGTCTATAAAATAACTTTTAAATTTATAAAATATTAAATTAAAATATTAGTTTCTAAAACGATCAAAGACTAGAGATTTATTGTCTTTTTCAAAAACGATCATTGTGGACAATATTTATGTTATAAATTTTTGGAAATCAAGTTTTTTTTCAATACCATTTTAGTATAATTTATATTTTAAAATATATATATATATATGAAGCTGAAAATTCATACAACAGCGCACATGAATATGAATTTATTAAATATAACTTCGCTGATTTTTGAAAGTCTACAAATCACTATCATATGGTGCTTGGTTATATTGTTGGAAGTATTAGATAAGTAAAGCCATGTGATAACATTATTTAGTTGCAATAGAATAACATAAGGCTAAGTGGGTGGCTAATGAAGAAATAGTCAAAGTAAGAAGAAGATATAGTATGCTGACAACGTCCCTGATCGTCGATTTGTCGTTAGTGGGATAATAAAAGTCAATTTTTGAAGAATATGTATTCACAGTCGGACTAAAGTTTAGTCATGACTCATCTCGAGTAAATATGAAATGGCAAAGAAGTCGTATGTTGTTTTGTTATGTTAACGGAAGTCGTATGTTGTTTGTATAAAAAATTACTTAAGTTTCTTCTACGAATTTCAAAACTTGTAACATCTTATATATTAAAACAGAAGTCATGACTTGATTTCATGTGTGATTTTTTAAAAAATGGACAATTACTAGAATGTCATGTTACATTAACTCTCTAATAATCTTATCATTATTATATCTTATGAAAAATCATATCTATAATAACAAAGATACATTTAACAATTTGGTTTTGGTAAATTACCCTACACCTTCCAACTTAGTCACACAAAATATGTTAATAAATATAAGTTTAGGAATCTACTATTATTTATAAGGAAATATGTCAATAATAGTTAAATGCATCTACAATATATTAACAAAATCACAGATTCGTAATATGGAATATTTATATACTCTAAAAAAATTTACACGCTATATATAATAGATAAATTTATTTCGATGTAAAATTTTAAAATTATATTGTTTTAAAAAAAGAATTTTTTTACAAAATTTCTTTTTAATAAATTCTTTATAATATTAATTTATGAAGCTATAAATTTAGTTTTTAGCAAAAATTTCTTTGAAGTTTATATTATCTTTTCAAATTAAAGTATACTAATATTTAATCAAGCTCTATTTATATTAATTTATCTAAAAATGAAATATTAATCTAACAAACAATAAAATGTAGAAGAATAAACAAACACCTGTTTGAAAACATGTGTAATATAGAAAATTAGAAACAATCTATTTGATTAAAACACGTATTATATAATATTATTATGTTTGAAAAATATTTACTATACATATCGTAAATATGTGATTACTATAATATATATCAATTTACAAGTGAAAACAAAATGTTTATATAACTAACTATAAACGAAAACAAACACCCGCGCGGTTGCGCGGGTCAAAATCTAGTTCTAATATTAAATAAGAGTCTTAAGATAACTTAAGTCTAAACCGCGTTTTCCTAATTTTAAAAACATTGCCTTGAAAAGGAAGTAAATACGATTTTTTTTTAAAATTAAATTTGGTCTAGGTCTATATATTTATCATAAGGCTTGTAGTTATCAAACCATAACGAAAAAAGAAAATGGGTCCAAAAACATCACAAAAGGTTGCTCTTCTGTTATCTCTTTTCCTTTTGATTCTAACACTTTCCTCTCAAGTTAGAGTCATCGAGGCTACAAACCGAAAACTTGGTAAGCATCTTTAAATCTTGGTTGCCACCAGTTATTAAGATCCAAAAATAAAGCATATGTTAATGGTAGTTGTTTTCTTTTCGAAAGAAAATTAATGTGGTTGTTTTATATAAGATTCAAAATATAGATTAATTAAATTCCTTTAATATAAACTGATCACTCGAACTCGATTTGATGTCGCAGCATCCGGAAGGCACATCGTGTATACTCCATCCTCAAAATCTTGCGGAGCGACCCACGCAACGTGGAAGAAGAAGAGACGCGGACCATGCAGACGTCCTCCAAGAACTGCTCCAGCTTCTTTCCAATCACCATAAGATCATAAGACAGCTTTCTCAAAAAAGGAAAGATCATAATAAGACAGTTTTTCATGGTTGTGAGTCCAATCTTGGAATAACACACCATAATGTTTTCAGTCATTTTCTTTGTTTTTGTTTGGGATCCTAAATAAGAAATCAAATGTTTGATCGTTTTCTTGATTTGGTTTCTCTTTCTAATTCAATGAATGTTCGTGGTATGTGCGCTGTACTTAAAATTAATAAAAGAAACGTGGTTTAGTACTTAATTAGTAAGAAAATAGAGCATTGGCAAGGCTTTGGACTTTGGAGTAAACAATAAGAATTGTTTATTTATATGATTAACTTGAGATAAATAGTAGGGATCTACTGAGGTAAAAACATCAACAAATAACCTGTAGTACATATATTTGTGTAGATAATCAACTTTACAGAAATATTATTATTAGGGGTTATGTACAAGTTTTTTTTCCTTTTTCCTTCTAGCGGAGAGCGGTAAACAGTAGACAAACCAAATAAAAACTATTTGTAATTTGAACATACATTTAAATAAATAAATTTCGTTTATTACATTATTTCATCTTATTTCAAACCTACAATGTGTAAACAAAAAAAAATCTGGTGAATTTCAGTTGGTCCTTGTTTATAATATTTTATTTTTATTTTATTGACTCGTACAAACAGACAATTGTATCCGTGGTTGAACAAACTACAATTTAGATCCACTGATTCGCACCCCACCGGAACCGCTCACATCCGAACCAATCGTATCAAGCACCTCTCTCAAAAGAGTCTCCCTCCTCCCACCGTACACGTGTCCATCAACTCCACCTCTAACTAACTCCTCCCCCAACTTAATCGCCGCCTCAACCGTCTCCGCCGCACTCCCACAACTCGAATCAACAATCCCCATCTCCACACCCCGATCCGCCGTAACCTTCTCCGCCGTCAACACCACATCCCTCCTCGCCGCCGGAGAACCGATCTTCATCCTAATCACCGCCATAAACCACGCCGGAATCACCAGCTCGATATCCAGCTCGCTCATGTACAGAAACCCCCTGTCGCGCCGCATCAGAACATAGTCGTGGCTCATCGCGAGGAGAAACCCCGCGGCGGAGGCGTGACCGGTGACGGCGGCGATCGTCGGCATAGGGAGGGAGATGAGGTCGGCGACTAGGGATCGGAGTTTTGCGTCCATGACGGGGCGGAGAGAGGGGTTGGTTTCGGCTAAGGCGAGATCGTAGCCGTTGGAGAAGAATTTTCCGTGGGAGGTTGTGATGAGGATTGAGTGGGGAGAGGATGGATCGGAGCGGATTTGTGTGATGGCGGAGTGGATGGCGTTGAGTAAGGTGGGGTTGAGACGGTGTTCTCCGTCGCCGGTGAGGGTTAGTATGAAAAGTCGGCCACGTTTCTCTAATGTACACATCGTTCTGGATGTGACTGTAGTAGTGGCAGATTAGCGATTATGCGTATAGTTTGGTAGATAGGTTTGTGATGATAGTGTCACGTGACATTTATTGAGAATTACATCTGGAAGATGTAAGTAAGTAACTTGAGGGGGTGTTAACTTTTTGATACAGAGATAGTTTATACGAATATCCTAAAATGTTATGAAATCAAAGTTTTAGTTCTGAATCGACTACTAAATCTAAAATTTCTACAATTACAGTTGAACATTCTGGACTGGTACACAGTCTATGTTGAAAAGTTAAATTTGCTGTCTAGGTTAACAAAATACAATTATTCTTTTGGTCATAAATCTAGAAATAGTTAGAGTTTGAGGTTATAACACGAAAAAATATCATAGTGATTGTATGATCAAAATAAACAAACTAATGAATTTTCAAAAAATTAATGCTATCACATGGAAACTGAGCTAGAGTTGCATAGATAGAAAGTAACGTGATATTGACCGGAGCATTAGGGTGGCGTTCGGATACCCGTTCGAGTTTAAATTGGGTATTTTGAATTTTTGGGTATTTTGGTATAGAAATGTAAAATTCGTTTGGGTATTTCTGTACTTCGGATAGAGTTCCGGTATTTTTAGGGGATCAGATATTTAGATTTCGGATAAAAAAATTTCATTACCCAAATTTCTTGTATTTAAAAATATAAATTTCACTTAACTAATTGTTTATTTTTAATAGAATGAATGGTTGATAGATTTGGACATAACATTTTGAAACTAAAAAAAACATTAATTTGGTTATTGTTTTTAAATTTTGGATTTAAATTTTTTGTTAATTCTTGAAATAAAAAGCTTAACATGCATTTTAGTGAGTAGGAAATCATTTTCTCCGTAATTATATGTATATCATATAAGCTTAAAGTTTGTGTAGTATTAGTATAAAAAATTTTATATAAAATAAGAGATGTAAATTAGAAATATAAGGTTAATCATACATATGTTTGGTTATTTTCGATATCTATTCAGATTCAGATATTACATGATTGAGTTCGGATATCCAATCTCTTCTAATTCAATACCTGTTCGGATATTTTGCTATTTCAGTTCGGATTTCGGTTCGGGTGCAGCTTCGGATTTCGGGTAAAGTGTCCACTCCTACGGAGCCAGAAGAACAAAATCTCAAAAACCCTGAAAAGTGAATAATTATCTCTTTGCGTACATTGATAAAGCAATCCTGAAAACAATTGTGAAAGACGCGACAAAAAACATCTGGGATTCGATGAAGAACAAATCTCAAGGAAATAAGAGGGTCCAAAGTTCACAGTAATGCCAAAGAAGTACGAGGTGCTGGAGATAAAAAAGAGAGACTCAATCACATATTACTTCTCTAGAGTGATGGTTGTGGCTAACAACATGGGAAACTTGGGAGAAGACATACTTGATACAACGGTAGTAGAAAAGATACTTTGCACATTGTTGGAGAAGTATACTTATGATGTCTGTGCAATAGAGGAGTCGAAAGACATCGTTGAGCTGTTGGTTGATGAGTTAGAGAGTTCATCGCTTATACATGAACAAAACCTAAGCAAACATCGCTGAGCTATCGGTCACATTGTTTATGAATACATTATCTGTTATTTTGTTTATTTGCAAAGCAAGCTCATTAGAATCTACAATACTACATTCATGAAAAAATCTTCTTCAGCTAGCGAAAAACCTTTTTAACCCTGATCAGCAAGGGGTGTTAGGCACAACACCACTTTATTCATAAAATGTCTGTTCAGAACGTAACACTGCAATATACTTATCACTCATTAGCAACCCGAACGACCTGTTTACCAACATTTTTCCCAGAAAACAACCCGACAAGTGCAGCGGGAGCAAGCTCGAGGCCTTCTGACATATCTTCGATGTACACAATCTTCCCTTCCTTGTAATAACCTTTAACATGTTCAAGAAACTGTGGGAAAATATGGACGTAATCGCTCTGCAAGAACCCTTCTAATCTAACTCGCTTGGGGATCGCGTTGTACAAGTTGTTGATTCCTTGTGATGAGCTTGAGAGGCTTTGTAAAGACACCATTCCACAGAGCGCGATTCTACCACGCACCTTCATGTTAAGGAGCGCTGCATCAAGCATGGATCCACCTACGTTGTCAAAGTAGATGTTGATCCCATCCGGGAAATACCTGTTGATAAGAAGTAACAATTCAGCTGATGTTATCTTCTACAATGCGCAATACCCACCTAACCACAAGCGATTTAATAAAAAAATCTAAATGATATAACCACATAATCTTACTATTACACATATTCTATGTATCTTACTATTCATGTTCCTAATGGGATATTTTACAAGCATAGTAGAGGTCATAAAGGGACAGTGAATGTGAACTTCCTGAGAAACCCAAAATTATATTTTCAACCGGTTTTTATCCGAAACCCGAAATTATATTGGGTTCAACCGGTTTTCCGAAATATTACTAAACTCGAACCAAACCCGAACCAAGATTTTATAATATCCGAATGGGGCTGAAATCCATAAACCCGAAAACCTAAACTGAAACATGATTGGTCCCCCGAATGCCCAGCCCTAGTATTTACCTCTTCAAAGCAGCATCAAGATCAGCCTCTTCCTTGTAGTTAAATGCTTCATCAAACCCAAGCTTGTTTTTAAGAAGATCAACCTGAAATATGTCACATCCTCTCATATAAGAGACATAATAATGAACAACACAATTACTGAAGAGACTAATAAATAATTACCTTTTGTTTACTACCAGCACTCCCAACAACGTAGCAGCCATGCAACTTAGCTAACTGACCAACAAGTTGTCCCACTGCTCCCGAAGCTGCAGAAACAAAAACACTCTCCCCTTTTCTCGGAGAGCATATCTCATAGAACCCTGCATACGCTGTAAATCCAGCCATTCCTACAAAAAAAGTTGAAAAAATTATACAAACCATTAAAACATTAGACTCTGCAAAAAGTGTGATTCGAATTGATTCCTCTTTTGATAGACAGACCAAGAAGGCCAAGATGATAAGAAAGTGGAATGGCGTCGTCTAGCTGAATCTTTCTCAATTGTAGCTCATTTGAGCTACGAAGCAAACTATACTCTTCCCAACCAGTAATCCCGCAGATTAACTCGCCTGGTGTGTAATTAGGATCATCAGAATCTATTACCTTTGCTAAACCAAACCCTTCAATAGGCTGCATCAAGATTAGAATACTAATTTGTTATCAAAACATGTTTCAGAGTCATAAAAAGTGAAAAAAAAAACAGTGAAAATCTTACTATGTAGCAGATTTGTATACATTCAGACAAACAAACAAAACATCACACAATTAATTGCCTAATGTGTAAAAAACAAACAAACATAACATCGAACACTGGTCGGCGTAATATCTGAGTTACAAAAAAAACATTAAATTGGTCACAAAGACATATTAAATCCCGAAAAACATTTTGAAAAAGTTAGATGAAATCGAGTTTGGATAAAATATATACTTGACCAGGAAGAAAAGGAGGGAGGTAGGAGCCGTGAAAATCGCGCATACGACCTCTCATGTAAGGATCACAAGACAAGTAGAGATTCTTGACTAGGAAACAAGAGGATCCTTTTGGTGCCTTGAGCTCAATTGTATCTCCGATCTTCACTTCCATGTCTGTTTCTGTAGGAATGCCATCTACGTAGTTCTTTAGTATCACTTTCTTGTTCCCCACCACTGCAACTTCTTCCATTTTATTACCAGAAATTGTTTGTTAATTTGGTAGTTTGTGGTGGAGAGAAGAAGAAGATGAAGTTTCAAAAATGTTAAGGGGAGAGTTAGGTAAGTCGAGTGTTTCTCGTTTGTGATGAACTACCCGTTTTCCAAAGTAGTTCTTTGTTTTTTTTTTGGTCGGTCAAATCCATTGAGGAAAGCCCATAGAGGATAGTACAATGGTGATACTTATAAACCCAAGCCACATTTACATTCAAACCCAACCCGAATCTGAAACTAAGAAGATATGAAGATAAGAAATTAACCTATGTTCTAAGAGCATCTCTATCCCTACTCTATCCCTACAGCAAAAATTACTGTAAAATAAAAAGTAGAAAATATAGTTATAAACAAACAAAAACTGTATTAGAGCATCTCTAATGTAATACTCTATTTTTTCCTTTAAAACAGAGTAAAAATGAATATAGAATATAAATGATCCTACTCCATAATAGAGTAATTAATAAACAAAAAATAGATTACTTCATTTATGGAATAAACTCTATTATAGAGTGGAAAATGAAGTTGGGTTAGAATGTTTTCTACTTCATACTCTATTTTATTTCAGTTTGGAGGTAAATTTGGAGTTGAGTTGGAGATACCCTTATTCCATATATGGAGTAATATAACTTTTGTTTGTTCATAACAGCATTTTCTACTTCATTTTACAGTAATTTATGGAGTATGATTGGAGATACTCTAATGATGATAGGACGACAAATGATGCAACCGTCCCAGATCCAGTCTGTTGTCTTTCTATTTGTTAATAGATAAACGTTTGAATTTTTTAAAAATATATGTATTTTTATATTAAAAATAAGAAAAAGAATCCAAATTTTTCTATATGAAACTTTATATTTATTTTATCTTAGTTTTATTTTTAAAAATATTTTTGGTATTTTGAATAAAAAAAATCAAATATCTATCAGATTTTTATAGAATAATATTGGTTTGGAAATTAAATTCTTTTTTACCCCAGAGCCCATGAGCCAACCCTGGAACCACTGGCGATCAAAGTTCAAACATCACCAAGAGTTCCTTCTGCATCGATCTTCCGAACTAAAACATTTGTTCTTAGTTTTTCAACTTATTACCTAGAGAGGAACTTATAAATTGTTTTAATGAAGGGGCATACAGTATATGATATAAAGTTACACAATTTTTGTTGGTATATATGAAAAATGAAACCCAAACAGTAATGCTTTTTTGTAATACTTTATTCAATTAATCAAGAAGGAATAATAAAATTGTTGAAAATGTCAATTAAACATATTATATAACTTAAACTCAACCACATAATGAAATATATGAAACGTTCTCAAGGCTTCCAAGCTTTAGGAGGTGGTGGGGCAGGAGGGTAAAGAGGAGGAACACTATCGAACATTGTGTTCTTGTCGATTTGGTAGCCTCCACTGCTGGTTAATGAAATGAGAGCAGCCACGATACCTGCGTTTCCGGACATAGTAGGCTCGCTAGAATTGTAATTGCTTCTTATGTCATGGAACTGATCAGATTTGTTTGGTCCACCAACCATAGCTCCTGTGATATTGTTTGGGTTGGGACTTTTTGAGTCTCTATACTTCAATCCTTCTCTACAGCTTCTTTTCTTCTTGTCGTTTGGTATGGTGGCTCCTCTGTGGTATACGTTTCTTGGAAATTTCTTGCCGAACCCAACAATATAGCTCATTTTTAATGGGTTATCTCCAAGAATGTAATCAATCTGATAATCAATGCAGAAAAAAACATTTAGTAACAAACAATAACACAAATCATATCCTCTATTTTTCAGAATCATTGTCACTTTTAACACTTTTCACATATATTAAGAATGGCATTAAAAACCAATTAAGAAACATATTCATAATCTTGTACTATTGTCTTGCACAAGCGGTATTTTGGTATCCAAAATGATTAGAAGAAACATGATCATAATCTTGCAATTTTGTATAGCTAGACAAATGTATACGAAATATATTAAGTTGAGGATTTCTTTTGTTACAACTTTTTGTCTAGTTTACATTTCAGATTTACAAAATACCATTTTTACTATTGTTCAGACACTTAACTCATAGTTGGAGTTTTTTAAAATATGGACATCTTAGAAACAAGCCAAAATTTATAGTTTTTGATATTGTAATATGTTCAAGAAGATTTTGGATAAATAACCTTTTTGGAGTTCTAAAAGCATTTTTGACACATTTCAAAATCAATTTGCGTGAACATATTTCTGGAAAAAAAAATCCGATTTAAGTTTTCACGTCTATTTAGGTGTCTACATAAACTGGTAATATGTGTGCGTGTATGAATGTTAAAAGGCTTTATTCTTACCTGAGACTTGGCAAAATCCTTAAGAACCTGAGTAGAGACAAAGGTAGGGCCACAACTCCATCCAGGAACTCCAGTTGAATTCAGATAATCCGCAAACAAAGAAGCCAAGAAAGAAGCATGAGCCACATATTCCAACGGTCTAGGTTTCCCCATGTTCAATTGTATAAGCCCTCCTGCAAAACCTCTCAAAAGTGAAATCATTTCTCATGAGAGAAAACATAGTAAAGATAGTAAATAATCACCTGAAGTCCGGTTAAAAACATTGTACTGCTTTAGATAAGCACACATCGTGACACCAGTAGCGTTATGGTACCTACTAAGCATATTCTCGTAAGGGAAACCAGGATTCAAAAACAATCTATACCGAGTCATCAACAACATAGCCCCAGGCAATTTGTTATTCCAGCTCGGTACCATCAACTCTGGTTTATTAGCAAAAGCTTGAGCCGTTTGAGGCACGCTCGGGGTTGTGGAGAATTGTATATAAGTCTGGTTCCCAGTAGCGTAGTAAAGCCACGCGCCAGCCCACATAAGTTCGTCGAACATACTTGTTGAGTTGTAGAAGGCTTGAAGCATTGGGTTTCCGTCTGAGTAACGTTTGCGTCTGCTCTTGCTTCTAAAGAAAGGCCATAGAGTTTCTGCGCCTTTTATTAGCTTCTTGGCGTAGGTTGGTTTGTCGGCGAAGACTATTGAGGCGGCAGCTAAGGCGGAGGCGATTTCTCCACCGAGGTCAGTGGCGGTTGTTACAGAGATGACAGGACGGTCGTAGGACATGTCTTCTGGTCTTTGCCAACAGTAGATATCATCTGGTGATTCTGAGTCTCTTTGTCCTCCACCAACCTACAAGTCATTGAAACATGGGTTTGATAAAAATGGTTACATTTTTTTGGCGCGCAAGAAATCATATAGTTAATGTATGGGTTTCTTGATTGGGAAGTAATCTGTTTGATCATATAGTTTTTTACCTAAGCTGAACTGACTACTAAATCATATTTCCCTCCGTTTCAATTTAGTCTCGTTTGAGTTTTTACACACAAATTAAGAAAACATTTAATTTTGCATATTTTCTAGAAAAAGCAATTAACTATATACTTAACCGCATTTCAACCAATAAAAAATAGAATACTAGATAAAGATTAATTTTACATTGAAAATATAAAACCACATTTATTTTGAAACAAAAATTTTACCCTACAACGACAATTAAATTGAAACAAAAAGAGTATTTTATTCCAACAGTTATATTTATGTTTTCAAAGTATCAAATATGTAACAATATATAGCTAATGAATTGATTTTCTTCCAATAAAAATGAACAGAAATTGAAAAGATGATACTCTCTCTATTTCAAAAAGATCCATATATTAGAAAAATAAATTGTTTCAAAAAATACATTTTTTACATTTTCAATGCATTCATTAATGGTAAATTATAAATTTCAAAAAGTATAATTGCATTTTTTAAAAATTTTATTAGTTAAAATTTATAGGAAATAGTTAATTACAGAAAATAGTATATTGATAATTTAAACTTTATTTGTTTTCTTAATAAGTATGAAATGTTAAAATATGAAACATTTTGAAACAAAGGGTAGTACTAATGAACTAGGAAATCAACGAAATGAAGAAACAAAGTAGGAGAACAAAAAACCTGAGCGTAGATATGATCAAGACGAGTTGCGGAATTGTTGAAAGTGAGAAGAAGATAGTCAGTTCCCCATTTGAGAACATCTCTCATGTGATCATACTCATCGATGGCTTTGAATTTGTGACTATACTCAATAAGACTCCAACTTAGCATTGTCATTGAGAATGCCATTGGAAAATGGAACTTGATGTTACTTCCACCGTCATAGTACCCTCCTACCAATCCTCCAACCACGTCTGGCAATCCATCCTTCAGCCCCGAATCTCCCCTCCATGAAACTTTATTCTTCTTCGGCAATTTACCCGCTGCGTCATGTTTTCATAATTCATCATTATTATAAATCTTCATCATGTATAAATATATTTTCTATAATCCAATCACGACCAAATCCTTGTTATTTTTGCTAGATTATATATGAAACTATAATCAAGTGATTTCTTTAACTTGCTTTAGTTTTTTTTTTGTGATAATTTTGCTGTGAATATTGTTTGAACTTTATTTCTTTAAATTTAAATTAAGAATTTCTGAACTGAAAATACGTCTCTTTTCTTCTTTGTTTTTTTTCTCAAATATTAAAACCGCGTTAAGCATTTCTAGTCCTTGGAAAGCCAAAAAAGATGTGAGCATTACCAAAAGCCAGCTCATAAGAACAAAATGGGAAAATGCGACGTTACAAGTATTTAGTCGGATAAACGTGTTAAAAAGATTTAAGTATTATCGGAATGTCAACGTAATTATGTAATAATCGTTTGAAAGCCTATCACTACCTAACAATGTTCGTTTTTCTACTATTTATCCTTTAATAAATTATTAATACGATTGTGAACTTGGAACTATTCAAAGTCTCATCGCAATGAATTCTTGACCTTTTATCAGTCGTAATTAGAAGACTACACCGCATCGTATATACACTATTTTATTATACTGGATTAATCAGCAAGAGTTCAATTTATTATTTTTTTGATATTTTAAGAGTCTTGTTATTTTTCTGAATTTTCAAATATTAACATTTAAAAAATCCAAGAACATTTATTCTTTATTATAATTTACTAGGAGACATTACTTTTATAGCAAATCATTTCTATAGATTTTTTATCAACGGATTTCTATAG